ACCCCGCGAATGCACAGAAGGTGCAAAATTACCTCGCTTGCCATTAACATGAGATTTCCTAGTTTTACTGTTCCGGGTGAATCTTGATTCACCAAGTCAAGATCAGGAGGTTCATGGTAGCGGAACCTGCATCGGGGGTAAGGCCGCATACCCCTTTTGGGAGGTCGCAAGTTTGTAATTTCCAAGGATGAATGTAACTTATTCCCACAGATTTGAACCAAGCCTTCGATTCGACTGCCATGAGAGTGCATAGGAGTAGGCCGACCTTCTATGATACGGGAATCCCCAAGCGAACAAGCCAACCGCATGCCACTCATTGAAACAGGCAGGAACCCACGTCCCTCAATGTGGTGAAAAGTCCCTGCTTTCCACAAGGTGACAAGTTTCGCGGCCAGCATCTTCATGGATGACCCAACCTTTGCTTTAGTGGTGGTACCTGGTAGCTGACTCTGTTGCCCAGTAGTGCCCTTTTTTCCTTTCTACAGGGGGAAGGGATTCCCCTTTAAACTCAACCAACAACAAAAGGGTGCCGATTCTTGTTTTTCCCATAGAAATCCACTGGGCATCTGAGCTGAAACCGAGGGTAAATGTAACTGAACCCTACAGGTTCATGAACCCTAGGGGGCTGGTGATAATACCTGGTAACTGAACCCTAGGGGTTTCACTTTAAAGTCAACAACTAGACCACGGTTGGCCCGAAAGCATAACATCGCAAGCGAGGTCGGCCCAACGCTGCAGGATGCGTTTTTTTCCTCCACAAAGCATTTGTGAAGCAAGCGCGAGACAGCACCAGGCAAGGTGCTCTGCGCAAACTGGTCGGTGCAAGTTGGTCTGTGCAAGTTGCTCTGCGCAAGTTGCTCTGCGCAAGTTGCTCCGGCAAGTTGGTCCCTGCAAGTGGCTCCCTGCAAGTTGCTCTGTGCAAATTGCGCTCCCTGCAAGTTGCTCTGCGCAAGCTGCTCTGTGCAAGTTGCTCTGTGCAAGTTGCTCTGCGTAAGTTGCTCTGCGCAAGTTGCTCTAGGCAAGGCGCTCTGCGCAAACTGGTCGGTGCAAGTTGGTCTGCGCAAGTTGCTTTAATGCAAGTTGCATCTTGCGACGCCCGCCCGCGGACCAGGGAGGAATCGAACCCGGACCCGCCGGTTCCGGGAGCAGGCGCGCGAACCACGAGACAACTCCCGAGGACCAGTTCGAACAACAAAAGTCGCAAAAAACCTCGAGTTTTTGCACCTCGACCACGCCGATCCCCGCAGACGAGCAGAAAATCGCAAAAAACCATGGGTTTTTGCACCTCGACCACGCCGATTCCCGCAGAGGGTCGCGCGGGAACTTTAGAAATCGCAAAAAACCTCGAGTTTTTGCACCTCGACCACGCCGATCCCCGCAGAGGGTCGCGCGAGCACTTTAGAAATCGCAAAAAACCTCGAGTTTTTGCACCTCGACCACGCCGATCCCCGCAGAGGGTCGCGCGAGAACTTTAGAAATCGCAAAAAACCATGGGTTTTTGCACCTCGACCACGCCGATCCCCGCAGAGGGTCGCGCGAGCACTTTAGAAATCGCAAAAAACCATGGGTTTTTGCACCTCGACCACGCCGATCCCCGCAGAGGGTCGATTTTCGTGTAGTGTCGTCGGCACTACCCCGCCGCCCTAAGAAGAGATTTTAACTCCTCGCAAGTCAATTGCACTTGACTCCTTGCACTTGCAACTTGCACTTGACTCCTTGCACTTGCAACTTGCACTTGACTCCATGCACTTGCAACTTGCACTTGACTCCTTGCACTTGCAACTTGCACTTGGCTGCTTGCACTTGCAACTTGCACTTGACTCCATGCGCAGCTCGCAATGACTCTCATGACTCCTTGCAATGACTCCTTGCAATGACTCCTTTGCAATGACTCCTTGCAATGACTCCTTTGCAATGACTCCTTGCAATGACTCCTTGCAATGACTCCTTGCAATGACTCCTCCTGCAATGACTCCTTGCAATGCTGACCTTTGCAATGACTCCTTGCCTTGCAATGACTCCTTGCAATCCTCCTTGCAATGACTCCTTGCAATGGTCCTTTGCAATGGCTCCTTTGCAATGACTCCTTGCAATGACCTTTGCAATGACTCCTTGCAATCACTCCTTGCAATGGCTCCTTGCATTGACTTTCATGATGATGATTCCTTGCAATGACTCCTTGCATTGACTTTCATGATGGTGATTCCTTGCAATGACACCTTGTAATGACTCTCATGAGAACAACTTAAGTGAACCCAGCGGAAGAACCCTTCGCCATGCTTTCGGGAAAAACACTTCGGATGTCGTTTTGTTTTTTTCCCCGATGGATTTTCCACTGGGCATCTGAGCTGAAATCTAGGGTAAAAGAGATTCCTCTTACAAGAGGCTGGCCCAACCCTGAAATCCACTGAAGGCGAGCCGAAGCCAAGCCGCTTCAGCGGGTTCGCGAGGCTCAGGCGTTGAGGGGCTTTGGCGCTGGGGACTTTGGACATCTTGACGCCTCCCACTCAAAACAACTCACGGCTCGGCTGTTTAAGGTTGCAAAGGCGGGGACGTCATGTTGTTGAGGGCTTGGACCATTTTAATGGTAAATAACAGGTTTGGGCTTTTTTTGGCCAATCCACTCGGGAAGAGAGCTCAAGACAAGACTTCTTTCTGGGAAGCGGACGGAACTAGTGCCGCGGTGTCTCCCGAAAGACCCCCCGAAAGGCCCAGGTTTCAAAATCAGAATTGGAACGGGCCCCCAAAAATCCATTGGTTCCCTCCATCCAAAAGCAAAGAACAAGAAGCAACACCCCAAATGTGCAGTTTTGCTCCTTTACGACATGCATTTGGACAGGATGGTTTTGGATGACTACCGACGAGGATTTGCCCTTGCCCACTTCTCTGATTGTTCACAGAGGGCCTTCTGCGGAATGATGCATTTAGCTTTACAATTTGGCAGTGTTGTTTTGTTTGTTTGCTTCATGTGACCTCGAATTGTCCTGATTCAACATCGCGTCATGATCTGATTGGCCTTCTTTGCCGAGTTGCCTTCACATTGATCTTCCAGCCTCTGGTTCAGCCACAGTACACTTTCATTTTAGACACCAGTTCGCCCTCAATGCAAGCGTGGTGGTAATACGGTGGACCACCTAGGAAACCCTGGAATGCTATGAGTCTCCCCGCAAACACCAACAAACGTTAAGGTTTCCCGTGGTTTCAAGGTCGTGCGAAATGAGGTTCGCAACCATCCACAGTGCCTTCTTGGTCAAAAGGGTGGCCTGTTTTTGGCCCTCATGGCCAGTGCTTCTGTGCAGTTCAACTGGTAGGTCCAACAAGTGTTAATCCTATCCTATGGGGGAGACAACTCCTTCCCCCATGCAGCGTTTTGAGAGTTCGGGGTCAATATTTGGCAACATCTGAGATCTTTGCCACTTCCTAAACTGAATTGCACTCATAGCCAGAAAATGGCATCAAAATGGCGCCTTGGTGAATGGAAACGGTCAACCCCAGGTCTTAGCCACACCCATTTGGCCCGGTTTGGCAGAAAAGGCTAAAACCAGCGTAACCCTAGGTCATACCGGCATTTTGGCCGACCCATTTCAGCCCCACCCATTTGGCCACACCGTGCCTTGAGATTTAAAGCCACGCCCTTTTGGCCCGAAAACGGGCGGATGCGCAGGTCTCCATCCCCAAGCCACAGCCTTCGCAGCCTTCGCAACCCCCGGCGCAGCGCGCGCTGAAAGCGGGGGCCGTGTGCGGTGCCCCGGGTGGTCGGGGGACTTGAGCACAAAGTGGAGCCCAACAGCTGCCATGGACCATATCCTTTTGGCCCCTCCCATGTGTTTTTTGTTTTGGCTATTTTTCTTGTGGCGGGGGAAGGGGGCAGTCTTCCGTGTTGATGCCCCCCATACATGTTGATTAGCGTTCTTTTTCTTTTTTTTTTCTGGGAGGGGGGGGTCATGGGGGGTCCATGTTAATGTGTAGGGGAGTAAGTAGGTTGCAACTGTAGGTATAGCCAGGGCAGCGACGGTCTGAGCCACCGAGCCGACCAGCGCTTTTTTAGCCTAAGATGCGGGAGGGCAACATGTCCTCACTCCCCGAGTTCCTGCACTGGGTTGTTTCCCTGTAACCCATCGCTTAGATCACTTAGGGGGTCACTTTGATCATGGTAAAATAATGAGGCCATTTTAGCGGCGATTCAAAGTTTGGATTACTTTTGGCCAATCCACTCGATCGGAAGTAGGTGGTGCGAACTGGAGTTCGTCCATCCACAGTAGGAGCATGGGGTTTCCGAGCCATCTTCTTTTTGGAACCACCAGTGCTAAATGATCAACTTTGGATTTGGAGAAATCCACTCATTATCTGACTGGGCTTACGTTCTGGTTCAACCATGTTTTCATTTCGTGGTGGGAACGGACTTCGCAACAGCCATCCCACAGTATGTCGACCGGGGAAACTCCGCGCTCTTCTCGAAGAGGAATTGCTTTTCCCCCTGGTGAAGCAAGCTGAGGGCACCGGCATCAAGAGATTTGGTAGGAAATCCGAAGGACATGAAACTAGGTTCTTACCTTCCATTTGCTGAAATGAAATGGTGTGTTTCCTCTCTTGGTTTTACAGGGAGTGGATTTCACATATTACCTCATTTTTCCCCTGTGGACTTAAGCAAATGAAGTTATGTGCCAAGGCTTGTGGCAGGGGCGAACAGCTATTGACCCTTGCGGGCCATGGCTATAGCTTTTCTTGTCCAGGGATAGCCCCCCCCCCCGGAGGGGGGCGGCGACATCAGATGTTGCACTGACACGTAGAGTGTGCTGGTTTGGTCCTCTGGCTCCAGGAGTTGCTTGAGGATTCTGAACTGGTGCTTGGTGCCAAGACGGTCGCTCGGTGCCTCTTTGGCTCGCTTGCCAGCAGACATGTTGATTGCTTGTGACATGTCACAAGACTAGAGACATGACGGCCCATCCAGCCTCAGCCATCCAAAGGTGATGCACTGCAAGATGTCAACACCAAGTTCACGCTTGTTTTTTCCGCCACCATTTGCCCAGGCTGACTCCGGGCGTAGGTTTCGTAGCCGTTGCGGCGTCGCGCCCATGCGACACTTCCTGGGCTACGTCTGCACCGCCTGTGCGGGGGTCTTCATCGGCAGCCTGATCTCGCGACAGCCTGACCTGCTAGCCACCCAGTCTAGGCTCCCTCAGGCTGCGAGGGGGCTGCGCTTCTTGCGAGCGCGAGAGATGCCACTCGGGTCCCTGAGAAGTGGAGTCCCCAAGAAAACCATCGATTTGGCTTCCTTTATTCGGGAATCCCACATTTCTCATTCCCTACCTTGAGCACCAGCAAGGCTTGTCAAGGGTTCTACTGGGAACCCCGGAGCAAGCAGAACCCCTGCTTGACTTTTGAGAGATGGGGAAGTGTCCAATTCCTTTTGTGGGGGTTCGAGCCACTTTTGGAGGGGCCCCCACCCCCCCAACCAACAGGAGGGGTTTCTTCATCCGCGGTCAACATTAAATGATTGATAGGGGTATTCCGTGAGTTGGCACGGGTCTGATTTATCCAGTCCCCCTGTTGAACAGCCTGAGAAAAGGCTCCGGTTCAAGGATTACAGCTCATGGCAGTTCCAAAGAACTTCACCTCGAATCATCCGAAGCAGTTACCTGTTTCTCGTCCGGCGCTTTGTGGTGGTTGCCCCTCTACGGCCTAGTGTGCTGGTGTGTGTGGCTCTGCTGTCCGGGTTGTGCTTGTGCTGCGTAACAATGGCTATCGGCCATCAGAAGACTTCCATTTGCTGCAACCAATAGTTTGTATTTTCCCCTTTTCTCTACTGCTCTTGGGTTGGATCTTCAGACTTTAACTTTTTGGATTCCCATCATATTTCCTCTCAACCAACAAAAAGTTAAACTTGTTGCTGGGGGATCTACAGCACCCAAGATTTTGGTTTTAAAGGGAATCGATTTCTCTACTAAAACTGTTTTCACCAACCCCAATGATGCCTGAAAGAACCGTGGCTATAAGCCGCTTGAACAGGTATCATTCCCCTGCAAACCAAAAATGGGGGGGGGGGGGTAACACAAAAGTGCGGTTTTCGAATACTGTCTTTTGGGGCAACTTTCTGCATGAACCCTTTATACTTGTTTTATGTTGTTTTACTTGAACATTTGATTCTCATTTCACCCAGATCCATTTACTTGTATGAGATGACTTGGCTGCGGAAAAAAAAGTAATCTGCGGGCTGGGTAAAAGGCTGGCTGTAGTGCTCAAGATGGTGTGCGCTATCCCCAAACTGAAAGCTACCCCCCAAGGGTTTAATGTCCGTGTTCCCCTGGGTTTGGGGGGTGCCGATCCGGGGGTGGGTAACCATGGGCTTGCCACCTTTTAGAAGCCGAAAGGAACATAGCGAAGGGTTGCCTGGGATCCGCATCAGCTTTCTGATTGGGGCCATCAAAAGACTTCCATTTGCTGAAATGAATGGTTTGTACTTTCCCCTTCTCGCTTTAAAGAGCTATTTTGACGAACCCCAATGATGCCAGAAAGAATCGCGGTTATAAGATGCTAAGCCCTACGTGCCATTGAGGGAAGCAATTGGTCCTCCCAACGAGGGCCGTGCACGTCCACCATGTTTGTTGGAGCCGTGGATGATTTCATAAACCCTGGTTTCTGATTCGATTCCCATGTAAATCCCAACAATCGGATTTCATGGTTCCAGCCATGAAATCCATTTCGCGGTGTGAGACTCGCGAGTTGTCCCAACCATCCACAGTACAGTACTCCCCTCCCCCGCACCCCGCTCCACCTGAAAAAAACAGACCTGCTTTCCGGTTTCTCACCAAAAACAGACATGGCTTCTGGCTTTTCACAAAAAAAAGGTATGGTTTCCGGTTTTTTCAGGTGGTGCCAGGCTTGCGGAAAGGATTTCGCAGCCCTTCACCGGAGGGCGGGCAAAAACTCGCGAGGCCTCCGGGGACCCCAACGGCAAGCCCAGCTTCTCGGCGAGCCAGCTGCGGGTGGATGGGGACTTCCTGAAGCGCGAGGGCAAGGACGACCTTCTTTTTTCCCCCCGCTTTCTTGTTTTGTTCTACTTTCTGGGGGCCACGTGGTCTGTTTTGTCTTCCCCCCTTTTTTCTCCTCGGGGGAAGAACACGGTGATGCTCATCTCACTTCAGGTAATGTTGACCCTGTATTAATAATCCCCCCCCCTATTAGTCCGGTCCGGGTGGACCCCCCCAATACTAAACAATTCATATCTCAGAAAATACCCCCCAAATAAAAAATGATGCAAAACAACCCCCCCCCAATTAGACCGGTCCCTCCCCCAGATGGCTGCTGCTATCTCATTTTCTCCACTGCTTCTTGAGCTCATTACGATGTAAACTGTTTTTTGGTGCTAGCTGATGCTGCTGATGTTGAATCGACTCATGCTGCTTGCCATGCTTTCTCTGAATGGTGTGCTGAAAAGGTGCTTTGTCTCAAATGGGCTCATGCTTTCTTCTGGTACCTTTCTCTTCATGCTGCTGCCTTGCTTAGGGTTCTCATCTCCACCTCCTACTCTCATCTTGAAGCTTGGTGGATACTTTTGGGCCTGCCCAAACCACAAAAACAAAAAGTGTTCTGAGATTGTCGATTTCTTATTAAATTCTTTACTAAACAAATCAAGTTTAGAAGGTTTCAAAGAGCACCCCACATTGGCCCCTAACACCCCCAATTAATAATCCCCCCCTAATTAGTGCAGTCCATCGGCCCCACCCCCCAAAGGAAGCCCCAGCAATACTAAATCAAATGGAAACTCAATTCCAGATCTCAAAAGGAAGCCCCAGCAATACTAAATCAAAGGGAAACTCAATTCCAGATCTCAAAAGGAAGCTCCATTCAAAGGAAAAAACAATTCCAGATCTCAAAAGGAAGCCCCAGCAATACTAAATCAAATGGAAACTCAATTCCAGATCTCAAAAGGAAGCCCCAGCAATACTAAATCAAATGGAATCTCAATTCCAGATCTCAAAAGGAAGCCCCAGCAATACTAAATCAAATGGAAACTCAATTCCAGATCTCAAAAGGAAGCCCCAGCAATACTAAATCAAATGGAAACTCAATTCCAGATCTCAAAAGGAAGCCCCAGCAATACTAAATCAAATGGAAACTCAATTCCAGATCTCAAAAGGAAGCCCCAGCAATACTAAATCAAATGGAAACTCAATTCCAGATCTCAAAAGGAAGCCCCAGCAATACTAAATCAAATGGAAACTCAATTCCAGATCTCAAAAGGAAGCCCCAGCAATACTAAATCAAATGGAAACTCAATTCCAGATCTCCAAAGGGAGCTCCAGCAATACTAAACAAATGGAAACTCAACTCCAGATTATTTAGGGGGGGTGGCAAAAAGTCTTCCCCCCCAAAACCTTCCCGACCTTCGAGGGGGGGGGGGGGTTACATACTAATACGGGGTCAACATTAACCCGTCAGGTAACGGTGGTTTGGATTGGTGGTGTGGATTTGGATTTGAACCCCTTACCCACCAAACCACGGGGCTCCAAACCAACTGGAGGGAAGCTGATCTCACTTGCCCAAAGGCGACCTTTGGACCTTCCCGTGATGTTCACAGGGGCCAGGTGTTTGGACCCATGGCCGTACCAATGGCCAGGTTCATCCAAAGAGACCTCCACCCAGTTGCCCGGTGAACCTTGTATTTCTGGATGTTTGGGGAAAACCTGAGTCATGGTCCAAGGCAATGAGTTTAAGAAGGCTCACTTGCCTGAGTTCCGTTTCGGGCTTTAGTTACTTTGGGGGCTTGGACCACTTTAGTGATAAACAAACAGTTTGGGTACTTTTGTTGTTGCCCATTCACTGTATCGGAAGTGAGGATCATGGTCCAAGGCGATCAGATTAAGAAGAATGTGAACCACATAGAAGGCGCCACTACTTTGATGGTCGCGAAATCCGTGTCGCGGAAACCACCGTTCAGAAGCCCTGGTTTCTGATGCTTCCCCAACGCCCGACTTGTCCTGGGATTAGCCGAGTGGTCGCTAAACCCCTGACTGGGTTAAAGCACAAGGATTCACACACCTGAAACAAGAATTGAACCCCCAAGAAAGGAATGATCATGCTTGGGTCAGGGTTTGTGGTACCATCTTACATCTTTGCCCTTGACTAAATTCATGGTGCTAGAACCGGCATATGTACATTCTAGGTGTAGGGAGTTGAACGTTGACCAAAGTGTTGCATGATTAAGCTCCACCATGAAATAGGGAGCTAGCGGTAAGATTCTGTGCAAATCGCTGAATTCGATTTGCCAGCAACACATGAGAGGCATTCAGATCACTCTGCACGATTGGCGAGCGAGCTCGCCTGGGGGTAAAACGAGCGACAGCCATGGCAAGGATCCTTTACTTGGGGATCCCTGATTTCAGGTTTTGGACATATTGTTCTGACATGTTGTTGTCTTTGTTTTCTGTGGTTTTCCCGAGTTCTTTTTAGTCTTGGGTGGAAAAGTGCAAAGCACCTCGAGAAAACAATTAGAAAACAACACTAACATTTGCAGAGGATCACTCACTGATTGTCGCCAGGAGGTTGTGCTGGAGCTCCCGCCCGTGTTGGTTTGCGACCCCCTAGAGCATGTGCTGGTGATCAACCTGGAGGGCGAAGGCCGTTTCTTGCTTGGGGCAAGGAATCAACACGGTGGATGGACGAAATCCATTTCGCACCACCCAAGGCACCACGGGAAACCATTGTTTGTTGGTATTTACAGGGGATCCTGTCATTCTAGGGTTTCTTAGGCGGTGCAGGATTTCGTCCATCCACAGTAGGACTCCCCAAGCGCATCCCAAACCCTGGATTCCTAACATGAGACCTAAAAAAGGTCTCAGTTTGGGGATTAGGCAGCAAGTGTCTTTTTATCGTTTTCTTTAGTACCGATGATACACCATCTATCTCTTTCTCCAACTCCCTCTCTCCAACTCACCAACTCTCCCCAACTCAGCTCAAAGCAAGGGCCTCTAGAAGCTCTTGTATTGGGGAGTAGCATTCCACTGATGGGGCATGGAGCCTATGGATTTTGTTCACGCGGTATTTGTTTTGCATTTGGAAAAATGCATACGGCGCAACTACAAGTAAATAAGTGGAGTCGGAGGTATATGATTCCTATTTGATCCGCTTGCGTGGCCATCAGGGGTATAGCGCGCCAGTTTTTCTTGGCTCCGCCGGTTGAACTGAGAGCCCAAGGAGGCCTCCAAGTTTTGAAGGGGTCCGCGTGTCCAGGCGCAGGGTCTCAGGCACCTCCAGCCTTGACCCTCATTCCAAGGGGCCAAGTCAGCCCCTGGGCCCGGCCTCCAGATTTCAAGGGTGCAAGTTTTAAGCCCGGCCCAAATTTCAAACCTCTACATTTCAAGGGCCCAGAATCCCAGAATCCACACATCTCAAATGATCCTTTCAGGGCCCACACGTTTCTACAGGGTTTGGGCTCCTCACTTTTCCCTGCTTGTTCAAGGTCGATTGCAGGGTCCACTTTGAAGTGTCCTTGCTTGGGCCCACACTTTTTAGGTTCCACATTTCTCCACGTATCCACATATCAGGCACAAATAAATATACAATTGTTTGAATTGGTCAAAAAGATAATTTACACTACCTCTGTGAAGCCTGCCCCTGGCCCGCCCAATCATTTTAAGCATACGGAATAAACAAATCTGTTAACTACCCCCGCTAGCATGTTTCGGGGCCAGCCCAGCCATTTGAACAAGCGAGCCTCAACAAGCGGGGGTGAAAAGTCAGGCCTAAAACCAAATGTGTGGAACCTTGAAACGTGGACGGCACCGTATGGCTTTTTTGTGGGGGGTATAACGAACCCACCATGAGAAAGGTTCTTTACTCGGGCATGTATTAATTCGGCTTTTGGCATTTTCGCAAAACTTGCAGATTTGTATATGTATGTATGGGGGTGGGGGGGGTCCAGAAAAAGTTAATATGTTGTTTTGAGAGTTTTGGGGGCCAGGTCTATTGGGGAAACGCACATGTCCACTATGCCACTGACCAAAACTCGCAGTATCTCCGGTCCATTCTTTGGTATCATCGATGGTAGAAGCAAAAACACTGGGCCGAAGGACCCTTGCCATGTGCATTTGATGTAAATGGCTCGGGTTGAACAATGACTGAGAACAGTTTGGATATTGTCCCTGCGTTTTGTCAACGGGAGGCCTGGCGCATTCTGAGAGTAGTTTCGCCGGGTGCGAAACTGACCTCACCCCATTGGGAAAGGCAGTTGCCTCGGGCCTCGGGCAGTGTATAAATCAAGATGATGTATTCCATTAGTTTGTCCGGAGTTGGGCTTTGTGGTTGTGGGTGCTTTCAAGATTGTTTTGGAGGGCAGGTTGTCTCTCGTTTGGCTAAGCCCGCCGTGCTTTGGATCCGCCCCGAACATTTGCTGACATGTTAAACTCACTCCCTGAGTTCCTCTGAAAAACACAGTGTAGGATTCACTCCCTGACTTCCGTTTCGGACTTCAGTCACGTTTTGGGTTTGGTTGCTATTTTAGTGGTAAACGGTAAACAACCAGTTTGGGTACTTTTTGTTGGCCAGTCCTTTCAGGAAGTGAGAAGCGCACTCATCCACCAGCATAGCGAATTCAGAGCCATAAGTTGACAATCAGTTCCCTGGACTTCATACTTTCTGAGACGACAATTTTAACGATAAACAACCAGTTTGGGCATTTTTGTTTGACCAACCCACTCAATCGAGCAAAGCCTGGCCGGTTTGGCCGTCCGCCGTTTTGGGACAGCCAGGTGGTCTGGCGAGACGCGAGCACATCAAGCGTGAATTCGAGAAAGCTGGCCTGAAAGGACCCGCAACAGGAACATCCCCACAATCGCTGGGGTCATTATTTTGATGGTTTCTGGTGGTTATCAAAGTCACACAATGGAATCGGGTGTTCTCCTTTTAACCCACCACTTAGCGGGTGACTTTGATGGTAAAATAATGAGGCCACAATTGGGTAACCCGTAATTTGGTGCTCTCGGCTCCTTAGGTTCTTGGAGCTTTTTGCTTGGTTCGGTTGGGTTTTCGAGTTTAAGCCACTAAAGGCGGTGCTTCTAAAAACCGGTTCAACTTAGGTGTTTAGATCTGTTTGGTTGGATTAGTGGTTGGGTGTTTGAAGTTAACCCACAAGTTTTGCAAGAACCTCCCCTGGTTTAAAGGTAACCAAAAGGAACAGGGTTGTGGGATCAAGGGGTGTAAACCCCCCACTTCTGTGATACAAGGGAATCTGTCTTCCCCCCACAAAATGAGGGGAGTTAGTCTTTGAGAAGCCCTTTCTTTGTATCACTTTTATGCGGTTAAGAATGTTTTATATTTTCCCCTGTTGGTTTAAAGGGAATCAATTTCACTACTGGACATGTTTTTAGTTTTTTTCCAGGGGACTTAAGCAAATGGATGATCACAGGAGTGGATTCCATTTCTGAGAGCCCTGACAAGGAACATTTTCCTCACCACTGTGGGGGCCAGCTCTAAGCTGTTGCTTTCATGGAATTGCTGGAACCGAGGTGGTTCCTTTGGTGTCAGGTCACCCTTTGGTGATTTGGATGGGTCGCTTGGAACATCTTGGAATTGGATTTGAACCTCTGGTTCTTATGGGCACCCAAGTGATCACGATGGTTTGCTGGGGAAGTCAAAGCCAAACTAAGTCATGATCATAGAGTCAACATGAACATAGTCATATTGAATGGACTGAGAAGCGCTCCATACAACAGCCTCGAACAGCCCTGAACTGCGGTAAGTGTATGAGTATCAGTTTGGAAATAAGCGGCAAGCATATGTATGTATATTCGACATGATCAGGGTGGTTTTCTTCGTTTTTTTTTTTTTTTAAAGAACCATGTTTAAGCTGGGGGGGTGGCGTTTTCAAAACTATATGATCGCTATGTCTTTCTGAATGTGAGGGGGACGACATTTGTTCCCTCCCTGATTCAATGTGATATGTCCTTTTAACCCGTTCAAAAAGGACACGAGCTTTATGTGGCAGGCGTCAGGCAAATGTGACGTTCAGCCTGCGCTTTGTTGTCGAGGGCTTTAAGGAAGGCGTCAAGGGGTCAACCAAAACAATCCGTTTTGGGAGTTCCCTATTTCTGTTGACTTGCTGTCCAGTTTCAATCCCTTGAGAAAGAATACCATGTTCCAGAGGACGCGCGCACGTCAATGTTCAAGCCACTTAGTCAGTAGGTTGTAAGCACTGTTGTAGGGGAACCAACCCACATTTAGCCCAGTTGCAGGTGTGGCCAGGAAGAGCATTGTGGACATGGATATCTGCGTAGGTTTCCCCAGTGGTGCCCTTTTACCCTTTTTTTGGGTGAGGGTTCCCCCAGTAAAATCGACGTCCTGAAAAAGTCGGGTACCAACTTATTCTAGCCACAAACTACTGGAGGCCCCAGTTGCCGTCAATTCTCACGTGGCGATCAGGGACTTGGAATCCCGGCTTGGGATTCCCTCACAAGGAAGCCAAAGGGCCGGAAGCCCAAGGGCTTTTTCTAGGGGTTGGCTTTTCAACCCTCGCTCTTTTCAACAACCGGCTCCGTTTCCCACAGGGTTTTTTCGGTGGTTTTCTAGAAAGATCCGGATCCCTGGAAAGAATGGAATTGGACGTTACCCCTAGGCTCTTACATTCCCCTCCCTTAAACGTGATGGTTTCCCGGGTTCATTGGTTTTCAGCGCCCAGCCCAGCCTCTGTTTCCAGGGCGGTTTCACTTCTGGCCAGCGGTGAACTTCAATACGGACGAGCAGTTGGCCAAGGACGGGCCCATCGGATGGATGGGAAATGGAGTGACCCCTACAAAAAGCTATCCCTTATGGTGTGTCTTTCCTTTTTTTTCGGGGTTCTCCGCAAAGAATGAATGGATTGACCCAACTCCCTGATGTTTTTGTTTCCTTTCATTTTTTCGGGACTCCCAAGGTCTGAGTCATAGGAAACCGGGCGGTTCGATAGGCAGGGCATGAGAAGTGGGAAAACGGGAATGGGAATGGGGGCCCAATGGATCCCAGGGCCATCGCAAAGGGAATGGAGGCCCTGGTTCCTTCACTGTTCTTGGCATGTTTTTTGTTTTTTTAGTTTTTGTTGGTTCTGTTCATTTTTACTGGGGGTCTGCAAAAAACAAAGCTTTTTGCTACCATACCAAGAGTAGAGATGGTTCGATAGGGCTGAGAGATCCATTTTGAGGGATCAGGCCGGGATTGGATCCATTTTAATTTGTTTGAGGGATCGGGCCTATTTTGAGGGAGGTTGTAAGCTAGAATTTCGGAGCCACCGGGAGTTAATGGTTTCCTGATGTTTATCAGCTACTTGACCTTGGAAGCTGCAACTGATTGTTCCTTTCTGTCCCACGGTTTATGCCCTTACATTACCCTCCCGCAAAGAAACATGGCACCTGCGCAGGGATTCCTGCAAGACCATGTTTTTTTCCCCCTTTCCGTTGTCTTTTTGGCACCCAAAGGTGAGGTTCTATGTTTCTTTGGGAGGAAGAGCCCTTTGGTCAGGGAGGCACCCAGAGAAAAAGCCACACGCCTTCAGTTTGCTGGGAGGCACCACGCGGTGCAGGTCCACTGCTGTTTTTGGGAAGCTGTTTTCAGTGGAATCTGTTTTGCACCATTTCCCCCATGGTTTGTGGTGGGCAAACAGAACAGGGCTCCTTAAAAGATACATTTTGCAACCATTTGAAACATGTTGCTTTTTCAACACCAAAATAAAGAGAAACCACCATTTACAAGTTGCAATGTTCAGGTGTATAGTGCATCCGGATCCCTGCGGAACATAGGTTTTTCAAGGAAGGCACTCCTGGGTTGGACTTTCTCAGCGAAGTTCAGAATCGCGCAGGAGATGAACAGGAAAAAGTGCCCCTGCGATGCCAAGAAGGGCTGTGCCTTTGCTTGAGAGCGGGATCGATCACTTGGCAGACGTCTCCGGATTTTGTGGCTTACACTCCTTCAAATCAACATGGAACCAAGCCGTCGCTTTTGGAGGAATCCGCTTTTGAGAGGTGTTGGGGCAAATTCGGACTCAAGTCATCGTGGGCAATCCATGTAAGAAATGCCCAATCTTGGTCATTGGGCTCGCCAACTGCACCAGAAACGCAGTTGCATCCCAACTGGGCGATTGATTGCTCAGTCCGAATTTGTTGGTTTGATTGGCGTTCCATTTTGCCCAGCGTTCAACCCAGGTTGAAGGTAAACCTTTGATTTCCCTCAGTTGCCCAAAGCCCCGTGCTTGGTCCATGCTTAGTCACGGCCCGAAAAGGTGAATCACCTTTTGTTTCCAGGTTCTGTGGACAAGTGAATTCCAGGTACCGGGAGTTTCCCGTGAACCTCGGTGGATTGGCTTCGATATGGATTTTTTGGGGATGCAAACTACCATCAAAACAATGGGGATGAATACAACCTATATGCGCGATGATTAGGAGTTTCGTCTTCCAACTTGGGCGGGAAGGGTCGTTACGTGATATGTCTTTGAACAGGTCGTTTTTGTCCGTGAAATTTCCCTACTTCCCCCCCGGAGTTTCCGTTGAACCTCGGTGGATTGGTTTGGATATGGGTTCTCTGGGGTAAAAAGATGTGAAATCCCAGGTTCTTTGAAGTCATATTTGTTTCTGGACTTGCGAGGCGGTCTGAGCCACCGGCGGCTCTACGAGATGATGCTCTATGTGGCTTGGCTGTAGCTCGCTAAAACGAGCTATGTAGCCCCGTTACTTGGGGATCGATCATTCTTGGGTTTAGCAATTTCACCCGCCAAGTCACAGCATCTCGAAACGGTCTGTGCTTGTGGTTGGCGAACCCGCCACTCAATTTGTTCAAGAATTCTTGGCCTCAAGAACTGCAACATTGAACGCAGGACGTGGATGACACATTCGTCACTTGGCTTAGTCCCAAATTCCTGGAGAAGGCCCCGATCCAAACCTGCAATCAAAGCCTGGGAAGATGAAAGTTTTCAAGGGATAGTCCCAACCATAAATGGGTGCAGCCGCCTTTTGATTCTTGATTCTTTACAAGCTTACATTGTTTTGGTAGAGCGCCGATCACGTGCGGTGGAGCAGTTTAGAGTTCTTAGCTTCGCTGGAAGCGCAATACAATTTCAGTGACCTGTTGTTATTGCAGACTCCTTTTCCAATCAAGCACGTGGGAAATGACAGGGCTTCCTTGTTCCCTACTTGCAGCATTGAAGTAATCCACCGTACCCAGATGCTGGCCTTAGACCACCTTACTCGCCGGATGTTCAAGCCACCCCCAGTTTCCGTATTTCGGAAACGGCATTGTTTGCCGCCATAGGCCGCCATAGGCCGCCATAGCCTCCAGAACCGATACCTGAAAATGTGGGGGGTTTTGGCTAGATGATCAGTTGCCCTCACTCCCACTAACAATTGGCACCTGACAGGGGGTCCCCACAAGAGGAACATTATTTTCCAGGTACCCTCCCACAGGTGCTATGTTAGTGGAAGGGAGGGCATATCAAGCAACAAACTGCGGGCTCATACCAAGGGGTTCAGTTGGGTGGGTGAAAGTAGATGGCACAATTTCCTACCCACGTGAAGGTAACAGCGCAATCCACTTCCACCGTGGTCTTCAGCTACGGGCGTATATACTTGGCCTAAGATCAAATGACTGCTTGTTAAAACAGTTTACTCCTATCATGGCTAGAGTTGTCTTTTCCTCACAACCACGTTCTAGTTATTTGGGCCCTCATGTTACTTGCTGGTTCCTAGCAGGGAATGAGTGAATCACCCCTAAGAACCATCCCTGGTGGCTTTGTTTCAGGGATATCCGTTCAGCTGGGTTTCCGGCATTTCCCTTCTTGAAGCCTCCAAAAGGTAGTTTCAACGGAAGCCGCTGGCGGGTTGATCAACTCTTGGGGAAACCACGTGACCCCTGAGTTCCCTTCAATTTCAACAACGGTCCCCCCCCCCCCGGATTACCCGATTATGGAAGAACATCCAAACCCGCAGGGAATGAACCAAAAGTCAGGCAACTCGTTGGCGATTCTTGGATGGGCGTGGGGATTTGGGCAAAGTCTTGGACTGGGATTCTTTGCTGGTTCCTAGCAGGGAATGAGTGAATCACCCCTAAGAACCATCCCTGGTGGCTTTGTTCAAACCAACTTGAGTCACGTTTTGGGAGGACCATTTTTGGTGGTAAGTAAAACGACTGGACGACAGAACTCTGGGCAAGAAACCCAAGGGCAAGATCCAGCAGGATCTCCTTGTTCTTAGCCTGGGCAAGAAACCCTGGGGCAAGATCCAGCCTGAGCAAAGTGACCGGATCTCCTTGTTCTTGTTGCTGCCACGGTTCTAGGGGTTGATTCCCCAACCATCTCCCTTTTTAAAAGAAATGCTGTTTCCCCCTGGGTTTTGGGATGGTTTTCTGAAAAGCAGATTTGGAAAGAATGCGGAGCATAGGTGTCCTTTTTGGTTGCTTTGGTCGAGAAATAGAAGGCCCTGGTTTACCTGATGGTTGAATCGTCTACCAGGGAAATCCATCTATTTGCCCTAAAAGGACACCTATGATGGGGAGGCTTCCCCGTTGGACGGTTGCCGCTGCCTGGTGAATTGAGGAGAAGTGGCCCTGCGCCACGATCTTCGAGGACGACGTGACGCTGGCGGCCAACTTCAGCACCCGGGTCGCGGCCATGAAGGCTATCACGGGCCACGGGACGGGGACCTCCCACAAAACCCACCCCACCAAAAAGCTGCCGCCTGTGGCACGGGGATGGACCTCCCCACCCCACCCCACCCCACCCCCCAAAACTGCGCGTCCAGCGGCATTTTTTGAAAGACCACTGGATTTTTGTCAGCCTTTGCTTGACCTTTGAAGGGTGTTTCTTTTTTTTAAGCATCACCCTTTGTGGGCCTTCAAAGTGAGTTTCCACAAGTGGCGCGGTGACGGTTTAAGGGCATAGGGACCATTTCAGTTGGAAAGAGGTGAAGCAACTGTGAAGCTCTGGCCTAAAGACCATGGAAGCCAAAATGATCAAGAGTATAGCAAGACTTGAAGCGACAGGTCGCCCGTAAGCCCAACTTGGTATTGAACCACAAACGGTGAAACGCCCCAAGTTGAAGCCTGCCCAGGATAGCATCCCCCCCTTCGACGTGATCCTGCTGGGCTACTGCGCCTCGATTTCGACATGGAGCAACACTCCTCTGTGGACATTCGTCCATAAAACAAATCTATGTCATTGAATTCAGCCCTGCGCACTCAAAACTACCTTGTTTGCAGCCTACTTACTCCTCGAGTTGAACAGCCAAGTAAGGGCCCCTTGGCACCGTCAAGGAAGGTAACTACCTCAACCCCGTTGAACCCCTCCGAGAAGCTAAAATCGCGGCTCCTAAAGGCTACATTTGGGCAAGTCAGCTCACCCAAATGCCAGCTGATTGAGAGGGTCGGGGTAAAGTACATGGCAAAACTCCATTTTGATGCGGGTTAAAGGAATGGCTACACCCCAATTGGATGGATTTGAACTCGTTTCGCTTCAAAGTCCACGACACGATCGATCGCCGACTATTTGTCCCATGGAAAACCACTGGAACCTTTATTCAGCCTTTGGTTTCCTCCAAGTCCATTTTATATAGGGTGCAGTACTCGATATGGAAGAGAGTCAGAATATCCTGCTGTTTTATCGCTGAACCCGAAAATGAGGTCTAAACCCAAGCGCAGTTTCCTCCAAATATCTCATGGCTTTTTTGGTGTGCGAAACAGGGCATTTTCTGGGTCTTTGGGTGCTGGCTTTTGTAGTGGCAACGCAACTGAAGAGCCAGGAAAGCCGCAGGTGTTGGTTGAATGAACCGGATCCGAATCCGGGGATTTTACGAAGAAAGGACACCAAATCGATCGGGTGGGTTTTCTTGCGGTCGGGCTCCATAACTCTCATGCCGTCCCATCGAACCGATCGCAAGACAATGGACATGGGATACTTCGAAGAGCGAGAGAGAGAGAGAGAGTGAGAGAGTGAGAGAGAGACTGAGAGAGAGAAAGAAAGAGAGAGGGTGAGCTACTACTTCTCTTTTCTTTTGCGGGAATCAACTCCTGAGTCTTCATGCCCGCCCCAACAAAAATCGAAAAAGGGGACCCTGGACCTCAAGGATACATATTTTTTGGCCCTGGACCTCAAGGAGATAAATATAAAAAAAATGGCGCGACTGCGCCGTGGGTATGTCATACCCCGGTTTTCCATGGGACTTCGCCGGGCTCAAATTTTGAGGCCCTGGGGGCTACAAGCCGCGGCGGGGGCCCAAAGACCAGAGCTCGGTGCCGACGCTGAAGTACGGCTGGCCGGGCAGCTGCGTCCACGCCTACACCATCTCCTTGCAGGCGGGACCCGGGAGACGGACGGGAGCCGGGGGCTCTTTTTTTGGAGGTCGGGTGGGAAAATGCGGGCGGGCTGCGGAGATGCGGAACGGCGGAGGTGGGCAACAGTTGCCCAGAAGACTGGGACTTGGGGCTCAGGGGGTTGGGGAGTGAGGGGTTGAGGATCCTAAAAACGGGTTGGCGGGGGTGGAGGGTGAGGGCTTGGGGGGTTGGGTTGGGGGTGAGGGGGTGGGGGGGATCTTAAGACGAAGCTTTTCGACTTGCCTTGTTAAAGCTTGGTCCTAGCATGGGACTTCGAAGATGGATGTGCTTGAAGGGCTTGCAAGGAAACGGGGGGTGTTTGGGGGAAGCCTTTTGCCAAACAAGGAGTTCTTCTTTTGACTTGTTGCAACTTGGTGTTTTCAAAGCATTGTTTTGTTTCACTACCTCCAAGGATCCGGCTACCCCTTAGTGGCTTGGGGGATTTGAGCCACTGGTTCTTATTAAGGGTATCTGAGGAACCACCCTCCAACCTTCCAACCACCCGTATTTCAGGGGCAGGCTCGCTCCCTGAGTTCTTGGAATTATTTTCTGTCTTTGGGAAGGCCATTTGCATGATAAACAAACAGTTTGGTTGCTTATTGGACGCTAAAATCTACAGTGACACAATGCATGCAAACTTTAGCTGCGGACCCTTTGCTACACAGTAGGCAAGCGGGGATGCATATCCACCAACCATTCTCAGAGTGTTCCCAGGCTATTGTTTACCGCTTGCGACTTTTAGGTCTTCTTTCTGTTTCACTCTGCTTTTGTTTTAGTTGGGTTCCTACATAAAGTCCATAGCCAACACCCACACCACTCGCATCCACAACCGCAACCGCAAGCAAAATCACATCCACCCGAGTTTTCTGAGGGCGCCAAGACCCTCACGGAGGCCAACACCCCAGCGACTCGGGATCTCGGGATCTCGGGACTCGGCTTCGGGCGCAAAGACCCACGGAAGCCCATGCCGGCCGTGAAAATTTGGGTTGTTGGTCTTGCTTGTGGCATTTGTTCAGCTTGGTGGTCTTCTGCGGCGGCTTGTGTGGGTTGTCTTTTAGGGGTTGCCCTTCTTTTGGATTGCGCGTCTTTCTTGGTTCCGTTCAGCCCCGATGTCGTCCCTTTTTTTTGCTACCAAACAAGGGCCCTGTTTTCTCATGGGCACGAGAGGTCTTGGTCCGGCCAAAGCGATAGGCCTTTGGTTTTCCAAGTTTGGCTCATGTTGGCAGCGACTCCACCTTTGTCACCTCTTCCAGTGTTCACCGCCTCTTCAGTAGCGAGGCCGTGCATTTCTCATTTCTGACGCGTGAATGCAGGGAATGAATTTGAAAGTGTCAGGGCTAGGGCCAGGGTTCCTTGATGCAAATCGGCTCCCTTCAAACAACTCGCAGAGTCCTGATTGAGGGTCCCGGATGTGCCTTTGGACACACCTGTGTGCCCTCATATCTCTCAACCATGTTATGCATTTTCTGAACCAAGATCTAAGTGTTGCATCATTCGCCCGTGGGATCCCCGAAAAAGCGAACATCCCCTGCATAAAGATCATGCTACGCCGGTTTGCCTGTGTATTTTCCGGACAAGAACTCCACGTTGGTTGCCATTCTGGGTCATTTCCGGATTTTCCGTGATATACAAATCGGTCCCTTTGGTGCCCTGCTTGGATGTTCAGCCCACCTAGTCCCATGGGTACAAGCGAGCCGAATCCGGTCATTCCCAAACCCAGAAACTCGCGTGGGTTGAAGATCCAAGTGGGGTTTTGGTAAGGAGCCCAACGAATTGCGAAGGCAAGCGATCCAAACCGGGTAGTCAGCTTTTGGCAAGACCTCCTTCAGTCTTGGAGACAGCTTTCTACCTTTAGCGCCGTGTGGCGCTTTCGACCGGCGAGTTGGTTCCCCCGTTCTTCAGACTAGTGCCGTGTTTATCCCATGGGGAAGGTACCATGGTTTCACCCCATGCCACATATTTGCCGACATGTTTTGGCATAAAAGGACCGACACATGAAAAAACCCATGAAGGTCTGTAAACTAGAGAGAGAGAGAGAGAGAGGAATTCTTATTTTAGGTCTTGGAATTGTTTGAAAGGCTTTGGCAGTTTGCAGGTGTGGCCTCTAAATGTTCCCCCTACTCAAAATACCCGCTTTTTTCAGGGTATTTTTGGGAAAACCTGGTTTTCCTATGGTAAACACCTCCATTTTTAGTAGAGGGTCGACATGATACCCTGAAAAAAGAGAGTATTTGGAGTAGGGGGTTCAGGCTGCGTGGCTTGGTTGTTGGTCGGTTTTTGTTCACCGAGGTGATCGTGCCCCCAGATGGCGCCATGGATGGCATGCACCACTGGGGCAACCGCACCAGGATCCACATCGACCGATCCGGCGGGGTCTTCACGGGCTCTTATTGGTACGTCCACCCCCAGCCACCCGGCGGACCGAATCGAATCCTGAATCGCAAGCGAGCTGATGCTGACCTTTGGGTGTTCACCAATTTGGGTGCGTCTTTAAACAAGCGCCAAGAAAGGGTTGAGTTTGCTTTTGGCTTCAGCCATTCACGCGAATTCAGCTTGAGGCAAAGTCCCAAAAGGTGAACCTTCAGCCCTGGCAAGTGAGAAATGACCCATGGTCCTCCGGAGTCACTTGCCAACCGCTCCCCTTATTATGGCTCTGAGTCAAAGCGTGTCCTTGGTTCCCCCACGCGGTCCCTGAGTAGTGCCTTTTTCCCTTTTACCCTTCTTTGGGGGAGGGTTCCTCTACTAACATAGACTACTGAAAAAGGGTACCCTTATTCTAACCTCTCTACTCGAAAACCTAGCCCAAAAAGGCCTTAGGGGGATCAAGCGGTTTGCCGGGGGTGGGGGGGGAGGGTGGGGGGGGATGGATTCGAATATGACCCCGGATCAGATGCATGTGAAGTTTGTTGTTTGGGGATGGTGTTGAAAGGAAATAGGGACCATTGCCCGCCTTGTCCACTATGTATGGGTTCTCCTGATTTTGGGAACCTGGTTTTTGTTTGAAGAACGGTGAGTTTTTTTAGGTGGCTGCAGTCTAAGGAGCCCGTCCCAGTTTTTTCTCTGGGGTGGCGAGCCTGTGGCAGGTTTTGGCACACCTGGGACCTGGAATATCATTATTTAGGTTTCCACCTCGTACCATTTGGATGTCCTTTGAAGTGATACGGTATCACACGTCCCTAAGTGATTTCCCGTCCGGCCGGTTCACTTCGGTCTATTGGCTCCTATGACGAGTTCGAGCATGCGCTTTTGGGTCTTTGGGCCCTCCACATGGAATCCAGAGGACCCCTTTCGTCTTCCAGGGCCCCAGTCAGGCTCCATCTTAGTGGACAGGAGGGCACTTTGGAGGATGGTTTCTGCATTGGGCGGCTAAAGCACCTCAGGCAGACTGTTTCTGGGCCAATCCACTCAAGAAGGTAAGAGTCCCTTAGGGCTAGATTTTATGTTGCCTTTGTGGTTTTGTCGGTTCCGCTTGCGCTTCCAATGGCTGGCAATTTCTGGTGTTTTCCGCTGAAGCGTATTGTTCCTATTTCATCATCAGTTTGAAGTGGTTGTTTAGCACTGGCCGGGGCGAGCCAGTCGGCTCCGGAGATACTACAAAACAGCAGTTGACCTGTTCGATAATCCGAGTGTTTTTTTTTGTGGGCGCCGTAATTAGCTTCTAAGCAAGCCGCCAAAGGGTCCAAGACCCACCTTGCAAAGGAGTACCCCCGAAACACCCCCTCCAAACACCCCCGCCAACCACGCAAGGACTGAAACAGACCAAAGCTGGAGGTTCGTTCAGGGCGATGTACCCTCAAAGCAAATTGGAGTACATACGTACCCTTGGTGGAGTGTTTAGGCTTTGTTGTCACCGGGCTTTGTTGTCACCGGCCTTTTGACCTTTTGGTTTTCCCATGTTTTAGTCAAAGTCCCAAAAGGTTAACAACTTATTCCCAGGTCCTTTGGACAAGTGAACCGTATTCGAACGTGCCTTGGGCAAGTGAATTGGATTGCTGTGTACTCCCTATATTTCCGGTGTGGCTGCCTTGGACTCGTGATTTTGGGCCACTGGAGATCTCTTGCGAGCACGACGGAGCGAGCCGAGGCTGTCTTGGCAGGGCGTAGAGGCAGACAACCTGGAGGGTGGTGTCTAAACATGGCACTGTTTGGAGCTTGGAGCTGGGTGCTTAAAGTCGAGAGGCGCTCGAATTGGCGGAATTTCATTCAATGTTCTTGGATCAGGTGTTGTTTCTTCTTCTTTTTTTCGCGTTTTTTTTGTTTTGTGTGTGTTTCGGTTCTGTTCATTTTTAGGTTCAGGGGCTGCAAAAACGGTAAGTTTGCCGGCCGCACGCCGATACCACAGGTTGTGAAGTTTCCAACGTTTAGACCAGAATTGAGAGGGTTTAATTCGGAGTCTCAAAGATTACAGCCCCTCAAAGTAATCTTTGTTCTGCGAATGAGTCAACACAAAATTGTCGCTGGGCTTCTGACAGGAGGTTTCCCGGCAAACAAAAAAAACAAACCATTTGAATGGACGCTTTTCAGAGGCCTGGACTTGAAACTTGGAAGACCAGTTTGGTAAACACAACCTGGACCCCCGTTTCGAGCACAAATATCTCCGCGCTCGGGAAAAAGTGCGCTCAAGTTTCTCCCAAAAGCGCTCGCTTAGGCAAAATGCGCTCGAGGCCAAATAAGTGATCGTTTGGGGGTCCAGGAAGGTTTTGGATTTGTTAACAATAGACTCAGGAGAGGAGGGCTCAACAGGAGACTTACCGATGGTTGCAACCCACATTCGCATGCTTCAGGGAACGGTGGGGCTGTGGGCTGTTGGGGAGTTGGGACTGTTTTGGAGGGAAACCGAAACGAACACACACACACACACATGTTTGGGCAACTTTGAGATCCGTTTGCTTGCCCAGTCGGGTACAAGTCTTTGCAAATAGCCAGGCCTGAAGAAACCTCATTCGTGCACATAAATGCAGCAGGTCGTTGGTGCAACCTTGGTGTCTATAAACCTTTCTAAAATTAAACGCTTTCAACAAAATGCACACTCCGTGCCGCCCCAAATCCGCTGGTCGCCGCCAAAACCGCCAATTCGCACTTCTTGGCCAGCTTGATGCTGTGGATGGACGATGCCTGCACCTTGAAACCATTGTTTGTTGGCATTTACAGCGGAATCATTCCAGGCGAAATGGATTTCGTCCATCCGCAGCATCAACTTCTGCGTACCACGCGAGCAGATTTGCTGGGGCTGAGTTGCAGTGGCCCCGGAATCAACGTAACAGGCTTCGCAAAAGAACGTGGTTACTGCATAATTTGCCGCGAGCTCACCGATCCGGGGGTAAAACAAGCTCGCCATGGTAAATATCCTTTGGGATCCCTTATGTCAGGTTTTGGACATTTTGGATGGACGAAATCCTGCACCACCTAAAAAATCCTGGAATCATGATTCATGCCAACGAACGACGATTTCGTCCATCCACATTATTGTCAACAATTGCAGATGGTTGTGGAACATATGGGGATGTGTGGCCACCATATGTCTCAAAATTAAGCCACAAGGATGTAGTCGAACAGGGTTCCATGTTGGATAGCTATTTTGATTCACACCCATATATTGATACTAAGGGACCTTTGTGTGATTCAAACATAATTTTGTGGTCTCCATTTTGAAAGGGGGTTTGTGTTGGTGTTGAGTGAGGATTTTGTTAAGTGGATGTTGGGGCCAAGGGGCCCCTTCCTCAATAAACTTGGGAAAGGGAATCCCCATGTGATATCGAGAAGGCAGGTCCCCACAGCGACCCTCACGCCACTAGCACAAAACCTGCGAATCTGGGTTCGGGGTTGCCATCCCACAAAAGACGAAATCAATGGTAACTTTGGAGGATCGCTGAATTTCAGGAATGACTCCGTTTTTGGGGTGTTGGGTTTAGCCCTTGCTGTTTATGGCCAGTGTATGGACCAACAAAAATTGGGCTCCAATGTTAACTTGTAGGTGAGAAATGTTTTTCCTCTCAGTTGTGCAGTGGCACCAATTCGGCAACTGGGAGCCATCAGCTCGGCTGGCCTTTCTGAGCTTCTTTGGTGGCAGTTGTGCAGTGGCACCAATTCTTTTTCCCTGTCTTTTTTTTTGGGGGGGATGCCCGACTAAAAATCCGGTCTTCCCCAAAAAGGGTTCCCTTTTTTTCCAGGGTCACTGAAGAACTGAGTCCTTGCGCTAGCTCAGCTGCCCAAAGACGACCTTTTGAGCTTTAGGTGTGCCCTTTTTGGCCCATTGTTATTCATGGCCCCCAAAGGTGATCACCTTCTATTTCCTGGTCCCTTTTGGTCGCAGCCTGGGTCCCTGCTCAACAAGACAGAGGGGTGCGCTTCAAGCAACTAATCACGCATCCGTCGGAACCATTTTAAGCCCCCTGCAGAGGGCCGTTCTCTGGACAAGTGAGTCAGAATCAAAACCCGGGTAAATGAAGGTTAGTAAGGGGCAATCCCAGCCATAAATGGTTGCGGCCGCCTTTTCAATTCCCCACATAGTTCTGGGTTCATCATTTTTGTACCAGGTTTCGATTATGACTCAAGTGAGGTAAGGAACTTCAAGGAACCTGGATTCCTTGGGCTTGCACTGCTCCGCATTTGTGGGCAGCGGCCCTATTTGCTGCGGGCTGCATGTCTGGAGGTCAGAGAGCCTTCATGCGGTGCACCGCCCACTTTCCTACACCCGCACGCTGGGCCTATGCTTTGCAGTGGCTTCAATGTTCTTGGCAAGTGGTTCGCTTTGCTTCTTTAATGTATTCTAGGTTGCTATTGCTGTAGTTTGTGGTACCCTTTATGGGGTGTGGAGAAGTTACCATAGCGAGCGCACCCTCAAGCGCCCAGTTGCAAATAGGTAGGTTGTGTTTTTGTTTGAGGGTACACTTTTGCAGAGGTCGTGAAAACATGAAGTGAAACCAGGCATCCTGGAGACCCAGATGGAGCCTTGCGATGGCGTAGGAAAGGGACCTGGCATGCCACATGCAAAGCGCTGGAATGGTATCACACAGCCACTGGCTGAGTGTAGAATGAATGTCGGCTGCAAAAAGACGGGTTTTTGCACGGTTGTTTCACCAACCATGGAAGCGTACAGGAGGTTTACAAGTTTACCATCATCTTGAAAAGCCCATGTTCTTGGGTGAATAATGGTGAAGGGGCCATTTGCCAACTGAGAGCATGCACATGTACAAAAAGTGTTTTTTGTAGCTTGTCAGAGTCCAGTAAAGGACAATTTGGGCCAGCCAAAACAACCCAAATACCTGCTGCTTTTGGAGGGTCCCAGCAGGTGCTTTTGGATATATCCTTGGAGGAACCTGGTGAGGGGAACGAAAGAGATCATAGGGTCAGCGCTATGCTAGACCATGCTGATTGATATCAAAGCTCGGAGTTTTCGAGAAAAGCAGTCTGCCACAGGGCAGGCGTGCTTGAAGGAAAGCTCACTTCCTTAATTGACTTCATGTACTTGTTGGGAAGATCATTTGGTGGCAAACCACATGTTTGGTTGCTTTGCGTGGGCAATCCGCTCGATCGGGCATGCTGCAAGACTGAACAGCGACCCTTTGGGAGAGTGGAGGGACCTCTCGCGAGCTGTGCGCGCGCGAACATGCAGGGGCATTTCGGCTCGACGCGCTACTGGCCCAAGCGAGCCATGGGCATCCTGTACCTTGGAGAAACATATGGGTTGGCTCTCAAAGGGAAACAAACCTGTGTCCAGCCATCCGGCTCCTTATTCTTTTCGCCTTTTGGTTCAGGCGAGCTTTCAAGTTAAGCTTTCAGCAGGCCATCAGAAATTGGACAGCCCAAAAGAGTGGGTGTGTTTCGATTTAGAGGACCCCTGTTACCCTCCTTGTCCTACACCCTCAAAATGAAAGCACCCAGGTCAATCCCCTCAGAAATGGTTGGTGGGCATAGGGGACAAAATGTTGGAGGAAGCACCCAACTGACGAATCCCCAACAGTTTTTTTGTTTTTGCATCGGTTCCTTTCATGTGCCCTTGACCCCTTCGAAGCTGGTTGGACAGAAATTCCCATGTTAAGGATGTCCACCAAAGGGTCCCCAGTCAGATTTCACAATGCGCAGCTGTCTTAAAATAGGGAACCTGCTCAAGAAGTGTAGTTCCCTCGTGGTTTTGCCTTTTAAACCACCTCCGGAGATTCAAAGAAAAAAATGAGTTCCATATTTCATCCCACGCACGTCTCATGTGCCTCTGCCTTTTGTGGAGACCAACGTCTTCTTGCGAATTCCCGGGACCCCGCCGGTTCTCCGCCGGTTCTCCCCCGCGGCTGACGGCCGACACGTCTCGCTCGGAAGTCGCGCGCGGCGAAGCGCGGCGCAGCGCGCAGGCGGCAGCTGAGCTTCTGGAAACGCGGCAACTCCAAGCTGGTGCCCTTCGACGAGCGAAGCGAAAGCCGAGTGCCCGAGGCGGGGTGCCCGGGGCGGGAAGGGGAGGGGAAAGGAAGGGAAGGAGGGGTGGAGGTGTAACCGGGCGGGAAAAGGGCGGGAAAGGGGGGGAAAGAGCTCACCAGCAGCAAGGCTGCTATCCAAGACTTGAGAGGTCGGGGGTAAACAAGTAGGCTGTTCCAAACACGACAAGTTTGGCGGGGGCTGGGTGGTAAGTGAACGCCCGGCTGACCGACCAAGCGACCGCCGGCCGACAGACACCCCTCTATTCAAAGGGAGCTCCATCAAGGCATGCATAGGAACTCCAATGGCATAAGGTTAACCTTGCACAACTGAAAGCTCATGTTTTTCAAACAATGCCAGTTGGGAAGCGGATTTACGAAGCCAATGGTGGCTGAGAAGAATCGGAAACCCACCCTAAAGTGGCAACCAAAAGCTGAATTATCCAAAGGATGGAGCCCTATTTCCCGGAAGGTAGGGAAACCGCTGTTTTCAGGCTTTCATTTGCTTAAGTATATGTGTCGTTTTCGCCTGTTGGTTTTTGAGGGAATCCATCACTCTAGTGAATATATGTTTCATATTAGGGGGATTAGTTCAACCAACGGAAGTCGTGAAGCTACTATTTCAGGGGAACGGTTCCCGGGTTCCTTAGTGAAACTACCATTTGGGGATGGAAACAAATGGAAGTTTTGAAGTCCCTATTTCAAGGGGAACCCAAAAAAGGGATGGCCTATTTTGAGAAGACTATGTTGACCTCCCCCATTCTTTCCAGGGATGCTTCTTTCTAGAATTCCTCCAGAACCCCCCCGGGGACAACTCTTTTTGTTGGAACAGAACGATGGTTGAAAAGAATGGAAACGGAACCAACCCCTAGAAAACATGGGAACAAGCCCAACGGTCAGATTCGGCCCATCCAAAAGAATGGAAAGGGAACCAACCCCTGGAAAAGTTGATGCGTTCCGGCGGGTCCATTTTGAGGACCCAGGCCCCAACCGTGTCTCAGGTGAAGGCGGACCTGAAGAGCGCCTTCAGCAGCTGTGACACACGCCTCGAGGCGGGGCTCCGCCGTGGATGGGGGCAGAACCGCGCTCTACGGGTCCAACTTCTCACCTTTTGACGGCCTGAGCTGGTTGAAAAGACTAGGAAACGTAGATACATTTATAATATATGATTTTGTTTAAATATATATATATAATAGCTATGTATGTTTATATATAGATATACATTTTGTGTATAGTGGTGGTAGTTGTGGAGTCCACGAGCATTGTACACATGTTTACTTCACTTCAACCAGGTGCCGTGGGCGAAAAACGCCTCGCGTGAGTTTCTGTTCACTAGCCTCCGGACCTTGAAGCTGACCCCAGCTTCAGACGAGAAGAGGCGAATCGTAACTTAAGTTGTTTTTTCTCAGTTGTTCAAAGCCTTGACCTTTTGGATTTCCTATTTTGGTCCATTTTTTAGTAAAGCCGACCTTTTGACCTTTTGGTTTTACCCATTTTGGGTTCCCATGTTTAGTCATGGCAACCCAAAAGGTGATCACCTTTGAGTTCCAGGTCCTTTTCGGCAACCGAGTTTTCCATGGGTGCGTATCTGCAAGAAAACGGCTTCTCCTGCGTATAAAGATTCTGAAGTTTGCGTTTTTCCTTTCACTGGAATCAGTTGGCAAAAGAAAGGGACTCCTTCCTCAGCGCGACCTTCTGCAATGCTTCTTAGGGTCAAGGCGCGGGTTTTCCCTCTTGCAACTTTCTTCCTGCATTTTGCAGAGGGGTTTGCCTCAGAAAGCTCAAGCTGTTCTGGCAACTTTCGGCCGGCTCCTCCGGCCCGGTTTGAGCTTGAGAGAACCTCAGCGTGCTGCAGCTTTAGATGCATAATGACGCCGGAACCAGAAACCGGTCTTAACAGGGGGGTGCATGGGGGTGTTCCCCTCCAGTGCTGAATCCTGGATAGCTCCGAAGCGAGCGACGAAGCGAAAGAGCCAGGCTGGTACCCTCTCCGCCGAAAATATCCGAAACCAACATGGAACCCGTTCCGCCCTTTGGAGGGGCTGTGGCTGCTGTGAGCTGTGGCTGCTCCGCTCAAACTCGCCTGCCTCAATCAACGGCTTTCTTTCCAGGGGTTGATCCCAGTTGCAACCAGCGGTACCCCTTTTTTTCATGTTTTTTTTTTGGACAGGTGTCCCTTTAAACTCCACCCACACAAAAAAATCGGATGCCGAGTTTTTCCCCCTGGAAAAATCCACTGGGGGTTTCATCTGAGTCTCATCTGATTCCAGACCCGGGGCCAAGGGCTTTGCGCGGGTTTCTTAACCCAAGCAGTCGGTCGAATTCGTGATGCGCTTCGGATGCCGCGGCCTCGAATAATTTTAAACGCAGATACCTGGAGTAAGGAGTTGAGCTGAGGAAAATGTCTTCTGACAGCTGGGGCTGGACCCCGATGAAGCGAATTTGGATCTCAGATTTATTATATACTTTTTGGGGGGGGGCTTTGGGGGGGGAGGGGGTTAGCATTGAAATGAGGTTGAGATTCTGGATTAACACCACCATTTCTTGTCCCCCATCAAAAGTTTAAGAAATTTTCCAGACCCTGGTCAAAACGCGGTATTCTCAACATACCCATCGACCGTAGAGAGGTTCGAATAAGGGGTACGCCTCTCTTTTGTTTTCTGGACGTCTATTCTCGGTTGCTTTCTGCTCCCCTGCTAAAGTTATTTTAGGTTGGCAAAAAGTGATTCAGTCCAAACAGCCAAGCAAAATGCCCAAAAGTATATCTTACGCAGGTTTTGGTCCATGTTTCCACTTACCAGGGCAACCCATTTTGGAATACCGTTTTTGTTTTTTACATTTCAGTAGGGGAAACACCGAGCTGGAAACAAAGCTCTTATCACTTTGATGCATTTGCTTGGATGTTATCACTTTAACTTTTTGCTAACTAATGGGTTTTCCACTAAACCGCTAAAAGTTAAACTTTTAGCAGGGGAGCAGAAAGCAAACGAGATCAGTTGGTAAGAACTTCATGCCCAACACAGCGTCCATGTTTTTGAAACCAGAACCCTTCGTAAGACAGCCTCACGGATTTGCGCGCACGCGTGCGCGCACATGTGTATGTGTGTTTGTGTGTGTGTGTGTGTCCAGGTGAGCCTGTTTTCGTGGGGTTAAGTGAGGGTCTGAAATAAGAAAAACAATATCTGGCTCATTCGAGGGTCCGATTTTGGGCTTCATAAAAAATTTTCAACACACTGATGGACCGTACTGGAGGACCTATGGACAAAAACCTGCACCACCTAAGAAGCCCCCAAATGGTTTCTGCGCTTTGTTCACTCGGAGGTGCAGCGGTTTCGCACCTCGACTCCGGCTTCAAGTCCCTCAGAGTCGAGACTTGGATTTTCTTTTTCGGCTGCGGCCACCGGGGAAAGAAAATACAAAACGACTGGGCCGAATGGGACCGCTGGTGTCTTTTGCCACGTTTGGCGTTCATGTTTAGGATTTGTAGATGCTTTCTATTGGTTGATTCCGTGTCAATTCTTTTCAAACTCACTGTTTGGCCCGGCCCAAGAGCTTTGCGCCAGCCAGTTTTAAAGACTTTGCCCGCTGTGTCTCAGGTGACAGTCCCCGGCTCTTGAGTGGGCCTAAAGCGGTGTGATTCCCCACACGGCAAAGAATGAACCAGGGCTTTGATGAATACTGTGGATGGTGGCGAAGTCCATTTCGCACCAGTTTGAAACCATGGTGGAAACCATGATTTGTTGGTATTTACGTTGGCGAATCATATCAGGAATCAGGGTTTCTGAATGGTGGTGCGATTTCTGGATTTCGCAACCATCCGCAGTATGGGCTGTTGGCGCATTTTGCTTGGATGTTAGGATTTTAACCATTTGCCAACTAATGTGTTTTCCGTATTAAACCACAAAAGTTATTCACTTTTAGCAGGGGAGCAGATTTCGCAACCTATTCCCCAGATTTAGCTCCCCTTTATTTTATTTTTCGCTTTTGGGGTCTCTTTGTTTTCCACTCACCAGGCACAAAATATATATATATATATATATCTCTTGTTTTTGCTGGGGTCCCCTTCCGAAGGCCGAGTGGGTCCACCACTTCCAGCCGGCGGCTCAGGACCTGCTCCGGAGCCAGCGAGAGCCCAGCGGACGCGGAGGCAAGTTGAGCCGAGAGTTAAATTGCTTTCGCCGCTTGAGCCATGGGTGCTTGACTGCTATTGGGCAACGGATCTTTGAATTTGAACTTTTTCGGAAATAAAGGTGTTTTCCACTAACCCCCCAAAAAGTTAAACTTTTTGCTGGGGGGTCAACAGCAACCAAGGGTGGAAAGCTCTGTTGTTCTTGTCTTCCCCCCCTTTTTTTTTTCGGTGAGGGTGCCGTGTTCCCCCCCCCTTTTTTTCCCGGTGAGGGTGCCGGGTATCAACGGTTTATGGGTTTCAACTGGAAACCAACAGGAAGACCAAAAGATTCGCAGGGGCCCGGGGAGGTCCCCCAGTTTGGGACAAACACAGCTGGCGCTGGTTGGTTTTGACCCAGCCTGTATGGGCCGTCCAAACCGCCCAACCAAACCAGGCAATTTTTTGAAGCTGAGTGACTAGGTCCCGCTGCCCTTTCTCGCCCGTGTCTTTTTTTGGGATTTTGCAGGGTTCCCCCAAAATAAACAGCAACAAGTTGGTACCCTACTGGCAACCTCAAACTGCAGGACCTAGGTAAAGGAAGTCAGCTTGGCGGTATGACCGGACAACTTTCAGGTTGACACCGCTGGGATTCTCCGTGCCCAGAGGCTCTAGAGTCTTGAAGGAACAGGTTTCGAACCCCCGAGCTACCTCCGGGTTGTCTAACGCAGGGGCCGGGCCGTCCATTGAAAGCCCAAGGAGCCCCTGGGCGTTGAAGCCACAAACAGTGATTCACAAAAATGCGGACGGGTCGTTACAGCCACCGTATAAACATGGCCGGACCCTTAGATTTGTGACTTGCATTCAGGGTCTGGAACCCCCTTTTCAATTTAGCACTGACTTTGGGCTGAAAACAGCTTTGGTGCATTTTGGATGTTAGGACTTTAACTTTTTGCCAACTAACGGGTTTTCCGTATTAAACCACCAAAAGTTAAAAATTATCAGCAGGGGAGCAGAAAGCAACCGAGACAATGTGATTTGGAAAAGAGGCAACTGGAGAGAGCCTATGATCGGAGCCGCAGCGGCGGCTTGTGACTCCTGTCTAAGGCTTAGATCTTTGGGAATCTGGCTCTTACCCCCTACTCCAAATTCAGGGTATCATGTCGACCCTCTACTAAAAAGGAGGTATTTACCATGGAAAACCAAGTTTTCCCAACAATACCCTGAACAAAAACAGGTATTTTGAGTACATTGAGCCAGGGATGTGGGCCATTTTCTGCGATCTCTAGAGGATGTCCCTCAAAATGACAGTAGTTAAGCAATCACGATTGGGATGGGAATCTTACTTGGTGTCACGAGATTGGAAGTATATATATATATATATATGTATATATATATATATGCTATCCCCCCCCAAAAAAAACCTAGGTTTCATCACTTTTCAAGTGGATTTGTGCCAGCAAGGGTTGCCACACAAGGTTCATTCTGATAGCGGGCCAGGTTGGTTTCGTCACTCTTCAAATGGATTTGTGCCAGAGTGGATTGAGGAAGTGTCATTTTAGTTGATTGAACAGCCCCGGCTGAACAGAAGTGAAGACAGACAGTGCCCTGATAGATGACTAACAACATGGAGGCGCCACAGGTCTTTGTTTTCTGCCATCTGGTTTCATCACTCTTCAAATGGATTTGTGCCAGAGTGGATTGAGGAAGTGTCATTTTAGTTGATTGAACAGCCCCGGCTGAACAGAAGTGAAGACAGACAGTGCCCTGATAGATGACTAACAACATGGAGGCGCCACAGGTCTTTGTTTTCTGCCATCGGTTTCATCACTCTTCAAATGGATTTGTGCCAGAGTGGATTGAGGAAGTGAAGTTGATTGAACAGCCCCGGCTGGAAGTGAAGACAGACAGTGACAGATGACGAGCAGATGAGGAATGAAGCGGTGGTGAGTGATATGTCCTTTCACCCACCCACCATTCCATGCTGTAGGTGAAAGACCATGAGATTACAGTAAAGGAAAGGAGATGGAAAGAGAAAAATGTTGGTGAGATTTCTTTGTCACCATCTGGTCATTACATTTGGTGTCTCTCTAAGACTCATCCAAATGTAACCCAAATAATCTTAAGATGTTTTTATTAATAGCCGCTGTGTCTTTTCTATCTCTTGGACACAGCTAGTTTCATATTGTATTATTTTCCTTTCATTTGTATTCCTGAGATTCTATAAGATACGAAAGGTAAATCATAATAGAAAAGAAAGGGAGATGATGATGGGTGACGAAGGAACAGGAAAGTGAGTGAGGAGACAGTGAGATGACACGGGAATGAAATGGTAATTTAAAAGATGTCCACCATTCTAGTCCTTTCGGTAGTTCCTAGAGACACACATATAAAATATCAATGTATACAATTAACCTGATAAAGAGATAGAAATATAGAAGTATGAAGATTGAATAGAAAAGCAGTTAATAATTAGTAGATCTTGAGATGAGACGGTGAGGGATAAAGAAGTCTCATCATAAAACCATTCTCTTTCTCACATCACATCCCTTTCACCTCTGTATCTAGGAGGTGATTAAGAGGTGAGAAAGGGAGAGACCAAATGATTTCCAAGATGAAGGAAGAGGAAACCATTGTGGATGAAGAGGGGAGAAATATAAGATAGTAAAATATTTGTAAATGCTATGAATCTAGAGATTTATTATTTGGCTCCAAGCCTTTGTATTCCTCATCCAATTTCTATTGCTGGACGAGGTCATATCTCCCGTTATCACATGCCATTCCTTCCTTCTGTACCTCTCCTAACCATCTGGATCCGGAGATGAAGGGAGAAGACAAGGAAGAGAAACCAAATGATGAATCCAGGCTTGTCAATCACCGGCCACACGTAGGAATGGGCCGGGTGAGTGGGTTTGCAGGTGACATCTCTTCATTTGTCACCTAATATTAGAATATTGGATTTTGTTAATGTAAATCCATTCTAATTCTCTTCATCAAGAATTTTACAGATAAATCCAAGATGAAGGTAAAGAGAAAGCAATTAAGAGACAGATGAATGGGATGTCTTTCACCCATTCATATCTTCTCTTTATTTTACAATCTTATATTTCTCTCCTCTTCATCCACAATGATTTCCAAGATGAAGCAAAAGGAAATCATTTGTGTGTCTTTTCAACAGACTCTTGTCTGCAAATGTACCTGATGCCCTTTGTTTCGCAGATATTTTCATGTGGTGAACTCAGCACGCTGGGAAATTCTGCATAACATGTTGCAAAAACCTGAAAAATACACGTGTTTCCATTTATGCAGTGAGCGCACAACTTCAAACACATGCACCTTAGCAGCACCAAATGCATGTTTTTGTAGACACTAGAGCAAAAACCCTGGACACATGATGATTGTCTATTTTGGTAGTAAAAGTGAACAAATACAAAGTAACAGAAACCAAGCAAAGTGAAACAGTAAAATGGTAAACAAGTAAGACAGTAAAGTATCTGGACCCAAAAAATGTAAAAAAAGTTTGAAAAAAGACAGAAAAGAAAAAAGTAGAAAGTAACAACGTACAAAAGTAACAAATAAAACAGCCAAATACTTGGACTCATGAAAAGTAAAAAAAGTAAAACCGCCAAAAGTAAAAAAGACTGGGGTTTTTACTTTTATCGGGAAAACGCAAAAAAACCCTAATCTTTTTTTACTTTTTCCCAATAAAAGTAAAACAACCCTAGTCTTTTTTACTTGTTCCCAATAAAACTACAAAAACTCAGTTTTTTTACCTCTTCGCAATGAAAGTCGAAAAGCCCTAGTCTTTTTCACTTTTTGCTGTTTTATTTTTTTACTTTTCATGAGTCCAGATATTTTACTTGTTTTTTTTACTTTGTTACGTTTTACGTTTTTTGTTTTACCTTTTTACTTTTCATGGGTCCAGTTATTGTTTTTTTTACTTGTTTACTGTTTTATTGTTTTACTTTGCTTGGTTTCTGTTCCTTTGTATTTGTTCACTTTTACTACCAAAATAGAAACATCATCATTTTTCCGGGGTGTTTGCTCTAGTTTCTATAGAAACATGCATTTGGTGCAGGTAAAATGCATGTTTCTGGAGTTGTGTGCTCACTGCATACATGGAAAACGTGCATTTTTGCAGGGTTTGTACAATTTGTCATGCAGAATTTACCAGTGTGCTGACCTCCCCCCACAAAACCTAGGTGTTTTTTTTTGGGGGGGGGTACCATTTTTATATATATATATATATATATTTATACGTGGTGTTCTTTTCTTTCCCATGGACGTCCACTATAGGGTTTTGGACTCGGTTGGCCAGAACGAGAGTGGACCACTTGGTCACGTTCAGAGGTGTGTTGTTAAATGGACCCACAAATTGGGTGCTTACTTTCCCTGTCAAACTGAGGAAATGGTGTATTCCCGTAAGCCAAAAAAACAGAACAACGGCGCACACGCACGAAAATAACAAAGCAAAACCACAGAAGGAGGTGACCGGCCATGACAGGCCTTTTTTCGATGGTACGATGCCCTGGGTGACTTCTTTCCCCGTTGTGTTTCCATCATGGCGCTGAGATGTTGGGGGGGTTGACCTTTGAATTTGAAGCGCGTGGAAGCCTGCACTTGGAAGCTTTTTTTCTCCATCACACGCACCACCCGGCTCCCGATGTATTCAGGGCCCTCCAAACAGCCAGGTTTTGAGACCGGGTCCCAAACCCCGGTTTGCGGGGTGTCTAATGGAGAATTCGGGTCTTCCATTGAAAGCCGAAGCCAGGAGCCTCTGGGCAGTGAAAAGTTACTATGCGGGCTGAGTGCAAAACATTTTTTGCTGGGATCCTGCCCCTAAGTTGCAATGCTCAGCTTGAAAATGAGGTGGGGTGGGGTGGTTGGGTGCTTGGGGTGTGGTTTGGTTTGGTTTAAGGTTTAGGGTTGGTTTAGGGTTAGTTGGGGTGTGGTTTGGGGTTGGTTTAGGGTTTCCGCTCTATGATCATATCGGATGTGTTTCAAAGTCCCCCCAGTGGATCTAGAAGTAGTGCTCAAAGCTGGCTCCAAAATCCAAGCCGGCTAAGCTGCCACATCCAAGCATTGGACCAACTGCCCAGCCAAGCCGGACAGCATCAAGCAGGAACCTCTAGCATTGACAGCAGTTTGCTAGAATTCACTTGCGGCCATGGCTAAAGAGATTACGGTGAGGCAGCTGTCTGGGGCAGATAGCGCATTTGAGTTGCTGGCAGGCATGACCGTCCGTGACTTAAAAAGGGAGCTGCATGGGTGGCTGCCCTGCGAAGATGAATCAAAGCGCCACATGAGCTCGGTGGGGATTGTTGTTGGAGACAGGCCCCTGTTGAACAACCAGGAGCCAGTGTCGGAGGCCATTCCAGGTACAGAAGTCCTGGCGTTCCTCAGCATCCAGCCGGTAAGGTGCTCAAGCTTCCAAGCCTCTGGCTGCGAGGTGGACGACTTTTTGGTGCTGGAAATTCCCGGAGACAAGACTGTGATTGGAGCTGATGCCTTTGAAGGTTGCAGCTCATTGGCAAGCGTGACCATTCCCAACTCCGTGACTGAGATTGGACCTCGTGCCTTTGCAGGCTGCAGCTCGTTGGCAAGCGTGACCATTCCCAACTCCGTGACTCAGATTGGACCTCGTGCCTTTGCAGGCTGCAGCTCGTTGGCAAGCGTGACCATTCCCAACTCTGTGTTTCGGATTGGACCTGCTGCCTTTGCAGGCTGCAGCTCGTTGGCAAGCGTGACCATTCCCAACTCCGTGACCAGGATTGGATTTGGTGCCTTTGAAGGTTGCAGCTCATTGACAAGCGTGACCATGCCCAACTCCTTAACTGTGATTGGATCTGGTGCCTTCGCAGGTTGCAGCTCATTGGCAAGCGCGGCCATTCCCAACTCCGTGACTGTGATTGCAGGTTGTGCCTTCGCAGGTTGCAGCTCATTGACAAGCGTGACCATTCCCAACTCCGCAACTGAGATTGGATCTGGTGCCTTCGAACGTTGCAGCTCATTGGCAAGCGCGGCCATTCCCAACTCCGTGACTGTGATTGAAGGTTGTGCCTTTCAAGGCTGCAGCTCATTGACAAGCGTGACCATTCCCAACTCCGTAACTAAGATTGGATCTGGTGCCTTCAAAGGTTGCAGCTCATTGGCAAGCGCGGCCATTCCCAACTCCGTGACTGTGATTGAAGGTTGTGCCTTTCAAGGCTGCAGCTCATTGGCAAGCGTAACCATTCCCAACTCCGTGACATATATTGGGAACCGTGCCTTCGAAGGTTGCAGCTCATTGACAAGCGTGACCATTCCCAACTCTGTTAGTGAGATTGGATCTGGTGCCTTCGCAGGTTGCAGCTCATTGGCGAGCGCAGCGTAACCATTCCCAACTCCGTGACCTATATTGGGAAACGTGCATTTGAACGCTGCAGCTCACTGGCAAGCGTAACCATTCCCAACTCCGTGACCATGATTGGATTTGGTGCTTTTGAAGGTTGCAGCTCATTGGCAAGCGTAACCATTCCCAACTCCGTGACCTATATTGGGAACCGTGCCTTCGAAGGTTGCAGCTCATTGACAAGCGTGACCATTCCCAACTCTGTTAGTGAGATTGGATCTGGTGCCTTCAAAGGTTGCAGCGCGGCCATTCCCAACTCCGTGACTGTGATTGAAGGTTGTGCCTTCGCAGGTTGCAGCTCATTGGCAAGCGCAGCGTAACCATTCCCAACTCCGTGACCTAGATTGGGAAACGTGCATTTGAAGGCTGCAGCTCACTGGCCAGCGAGACCATTCCCAACTCTGTGACAGGATTGGAGATGGTGCCTCCGAAGGCTACCGGCAAGCATGACCATTCCCGACTCCGTTACTGAAATTGGGGGAACGCAATCGTGACTATTCCTAGTGTGACTGAAATTGGGGAGCGCGCCTTTGAAGGTCGCACTGTTCCACAACCTTTCAGGGAGCACGGCTAGGGAGCAAACGTGTACCTATGTGGGTTTGATTCAGAGTCCGGCTTAACATGTGGTATTTTGGTGTGTCACCACAGGCCTGATGGGCGAGAAAGTCAACGAAAGCCTCGCGTGCTCTTGAGACTCGTGGCGGGGCTAGGGGGGGGGGGATGTTCCAGTAGAGCCGGCAGACCCCCTCCCCCGTTTTTTCAGCTAGGCATTTGGAGAGCGAACCCACGAGTCCACCTTCTCTCTGGGACTTCAGTCACGTGGGTCCACCTTCCCAGTTGCAACCAGTGGTGCCCTTTTTTCCTTGTATATTTTTTGGGGGGGGCAGGCGCAGGCTTCCTAAACCCAACCAACCAGAAGATCGGATGCCGATTCATTTTGTTCCCCGTGGGAAATCTGGGCATCTGAGTCTTCGTGCCTCGTGGCTCGCAGGTCGAGCCCTCGGCCTCCGGAGAAAGCGCGGCCTTCTCGCCTTTCGCGCCGGCCCCAGCACCCCAAACCGCCCGGGTGACACTCGGGAGCCTTACGTGGCAACCGGCGGATTTCGCCTGGTGGGGTGTGAATCAATTCTCCGTTGCCCGGTGGCTTGCTTCCTTCTTTCAAATCTTTTCGGAGTTCCGATTCCTTTAAAAACTCAACCAACCGAACACAAATCGCATGCCGATCCCTCTTTTGCCCCATGGAAATCCACTGGGCATCTGAGGTTTTGTTGGCAGACTTCTTCTTTTTCTTTTTTTCCGGTTTTTTGTTTTTTTGTCGAGGCCGCGAAGGTCTCTCCGCTGGATGTCCATAAGAGATCCTGAAAAACACTGGTTGGTTCTACTCGGCTTCAAGCGCCAGAAGAAGCGCACCTCCCCTTTGTTTTTGGTGTTCAACAAACCATGACGTCCTGGACGTGAGGTTTCCCATGGTCAGAGTCACCCCCTTGGTGGGTTAAAGGGAAACAAACCTCATTTCACTTCTTGCCTCTTAAAAACACAACTCTTTTCTCAACTTGTTTGGGGGTAACATGGGCGAAAAGTGTCTGTAAAAGATGAGAGCTTCCCCAGGGCGCAGGGAGTTTTAAGGGGTATGGTGTGCTCCCTGGCTCGAGGTGTTAAGACTGTCCAGCCAAAGTTTCGAGAAACGCTGGGGTCGGAGAACTCAGCTGTCCCATTCCGTCCAACTTCCAACTGACTGTGACCCCAGTTGCAACCAGTGGTCCTTTTGTCCTTTGCCTTGTTGTTGTTTTTTTGTTTTTTGTTTTTTTTTCTCGGGGGAAGGCTTCCCTTTGAACTCAACCATTTGAGTGACAGCGCAGTCAGGGTGACTCTGTTCAGGCGCCGGGCATTCTTCGCACTCGAAGGCTTGGCAACTTACACGGCTTCCATTTGCTGGGAAATATGTTTTGATTTCCCCTGTTGGTTTTAAAGGGAATCTATCACTACTGGACATATCTTTGTGTTTCCCAGGGGCAAATGGAGGACAGGCACTGGTTCACCTCTCCGCCTCGTTTGAACCCCGTTGCGCTAGACAGGCGGGGAGAACCCCCAGAACAAAAAGGAGAAAATGTCCGAAAGAAAATCCGGACCCATAACTAGGTCCCCAGTGCCCTTTTACCCTTTCTTTGGGGGAGGGTTCCCCTACTAAAATAGACCACAAGAACAAAGGGTACCCTTATTCGAAATAGTAATTTGGCTCCTTTGCCAGCATTGCTTTTGTTTTGACTTCACTCGGACGATGCCTTTGAGGACCTCGTCGACTTCAATGCCTCACAGCAAGAGTGCCGGCCCCAGCGAGCACGCCCATGCCCTTAAGCATGGAGTTCTTCCTAATTGCTTAAGAATGTTTCTTATTTTCCCTTGGTTGGTTTTGAAGGGAATCGATTTCACTACTGGATATATATATATATATATATATGTCTTTTCTCAATTTTCCAGGGCGGCGGGCCTCAAATGGAGGAGTTGTGGGGATCTTCAGCTGGCCCTCTTGGGTTTCTTCCACAGCGCCGGCTTTGGCCGTATTTGAAACGGAGAAACTGGTGGGGGCAAGAACCGGGTGGTGGGATCAAGGGGTGTACACCCCCACTTCTGTGATACAAGTTGGAATTCTCTCTTTATATGAAAGGTTAGTCTTTGGAGCCTCTTTTTGTTGTATCAAGTCGTCATTTCCCACAGGCCTGGGAATTGGGACAAATCCTATGAAACGGAGGGGAGACCCACTGGAAATTTCCATTGTAACGCCCATTTCCGGGTTAGCCATGACATAGCCTTATCGCGATTGATGGGATGGAGTAAGCAACATCCATGGTCCAGATGATCTCGGTTCAATCAGGGGTACTTCAAGGTCCCCTGTTCAGTGAGGGCCACGCTAAGATGTGTTTGGTGTTGTTTGGTTCTCTTTGGCGAAGGGATGTTGTAAGGGGGAATAAGGAATCTTGATTGACGTCCTCGGGGCTCACTATCAAGATGTTAGCAACGGGAAAAAGACAGGGTTGCTTCGAACCTCCAACGAATGACCAAGCCACGCTTGCCAAATTTGTAAAAACCATCAATGCCCTGGGTTCAATCCACAATTTAAAGACAGGGGCCCAACACAACGAGCGCAGGGAAACATATCCGGAAAAACCATTGTTTACGGTTCCGGAAATTCATCCTCCACATTGGGTTCTTGCCATACTTGCGGATGGATGGATAGATAGATACAGATATAGACAGATAGATAGAAAGATAGATAGATATAGATCAATAGACATATTATATATAGATAAATCGATAGATGGATGGATGGATGGATGGATGGATGGATGGATGGATGGATGGATGGATGGATGGATGGATGGATGGATGGATGGATGGGGGTTGATTTTCCTGCCTTTTCGGCGGCTAATTCAATTTCTACAGGAAGTCACTCCCATCTAAGCCTTGGAAGGCAACCCTTGGCAAAGTCCGGGATTTCTTTCTTCATCTTGGGGAGTTCTCGTTGCCCAGATGCAAGTGCACTATCCTTTTGGAACGGGTTCACCTTTAAGGGAGGGTAATGTAAGAGTCTAGGGAAGCACATGGAAAACGGCAGGTTCTTGGAAAGAACCTAGATTGATTGAAAGAATGGGGAATCAACGCCTAGAAAGAGGGGTTATCTAAAACTCGAAGCAGGCAAAAGTTGGATTCATGTGCTGCAGGCGTTCCTTGGAACACCCGGAATCTTCCCGATGCTTTTCTCCCGTTCAACGGGAGCTCCCGATGCTTCGCCCACGGAACGGTTTCGTCAGGATCTCTCGGGCTGTGGCACATGAGCCTCTCGGACGGATCGCTTTGTGTCAGGTCCCCGTTTAAATTTAGGGAACGACACTCCCACAGTGGGTCTGTCCCTTTTGGAGGGTAGCCTAATTTCGGCGTTTAGCACAGAAAGCAAGACGCAAACTTGTCTGGGCTCCTAATTGGGCAGATACGCCACTTCCAAACATTTTCTGGACCTTTTGTTTGGTGGACAACAATAAAACATATACTAAGTTTTGCAATCCCACTTAACTCCGTAAGTATGTGTGAATTCCCAGAAAAGCCAAAGGGGGATGGTATTTGTTGCGTCCTCTGCCTATCAATCGGATCCACTTTCTTGTGAATTCCCCGAAGCGGATCGTCGACGTGATTTTGTCTTGTTTCCCATGCCCGTAGTCTTCTTAGTTGTTCAGTGGCACCCACCCACCCTTTTTTTTGGGTGGCTGCCCCACTAAAATGGTCTTCCCAAGAAAAGGATTCCCTTTTTCTCCAGGGTCACTGAACAACTGAGAAGCAAAGGGCGGTTGTTGTGTTAAATGTTTTCCACTTTGTCCTAGCCCATCCAAGCCTAGAAAAGACTTCGGCTTCAGGCAACCCTTAGTTGGTGGTTTGGATTTGGATTTGAACCCCTGGGTCTCGTAGAGGGTTAATGGGAAACCTAATTAGAGGGAAGCTGAATGACGGATAGATTGCCCGTGCTTCTTTCTCTAGGCATTCTGGGTTCCAGAAGGTGTTGTATGCGAGTCGACCTTTGTTTGTTTATTCCCCTTTGTCTTCAGGATTCCGACAAAGCTTTCCTCACCTATGTGATTTCCTGGTTGCTCATTTAATGTTTAGTCGAAGCAGCCGACAAGGTGATTACTCGTTCCATTGTTTGGCTTCAATTGAGCTCATGTAGCATTTGTCCCTTGGCGCTGAAGGCTTGTACGATTTCGTCGCAACACATGGTCCCTCCAAAGAAGGGAAGAGGCTGTTACGATCCCGGGTCCAAAACCTGTCGAAGTGCTCAAGCATCTTACCTCCCCCCCTCATCCGCAATCCTCTGTGGAAAGCCCTACGCCTGCCCTCGGAATCATGCCCAATAGTGGGGAAGTCCTTTAATTCTGGGGCGCTACCGGTGACACACGCAGGACCCCTGGCTCGTGCGACTGGTTGCGTCCCGGCTTGCCCATGTCTTTCTTTGGAGCCCTCTTGTGGTCGACGGAAGGGGAATAAAAGCTCACTTCCTGAGTTCATGAACTTTAAACTTTTTGGGAAGACCATTTTAGTAGTCAATATACAGTTTGGACTTTCTTTTGGGAAATCCACTCAGCAAGTGAAAAAGAGCATCATTGTGAGGGAGCCTCTCATTTGATGGTAAGCTCAAGTGTACCGTCTTGCTGAATAGCCTTCTGTTCAACCTGCCGCTTGTTGCTTCTGAATCGGGATTCAGTGTAACTTCCATTACTTTCCCATGGCGGAAGATACGAAGTCTTTTGGGCTCAACTTTTGTTTTGTCTCCAGTCCTTTACAGTAAATGCAGCTTGGCTTTCCTGTGATTTTTAAGCTGTGGGCGAAACGTCACGCCCTGATGTTTGCCTGGGTGCTAAATGACCTCTAGTTGTTCATGTTTCAAAAGCTTGCCAAAGGGGGGATAGGCATTTGATGTTTCCTGCACTCCCTATTTTCACCACCCCCCCTTGTCATGTGCTTTGGCCGCACCGCTGAGGTTTGGCGAAGAGGTCGCGAGTTCGCTGCAATCCACGAAGTGGGACAAGCGCCTGCGATCGCTGCAGTCGCCCCTCGACTGAGCACCGATTCGGCACCGATCGACGGTCCCTCAAGGAACACATGAGCCACAATCACAACCCGGGTAAGTGAAGGTTGGTAAGGGACGATGCCAGCTATATATAGCTGCGGCCGTCTTCTTAGTTCTTTACATGGTTCTGGGTCGACCATTTTTGTACCGGGTTTTGATTGTGACTCACATGTCTTCGCTCTCTGAGGTTCCATGTTTGTGAATAGGGCCATGTTGACCAGATTAATCAACCCCAATGTTTTTTTTTGGGGGGCTGTTGGGTTTAGCGGGGAATCATCACTTTTGGAGGGGACCACCCCTATTGATAAACCGGGGTTGATCAATCCGGGGTCAAAATTAACTTCCGTCACCCGGAAACGTCACGTTCTTTGGTGGACAGGAGGCTGGAAGGCAAGCCAAAGGCTCCAAAGTTCCCCGAGGTTTTGTGCCATATCCATCCAAAAACCTGATCCTGGTGTCTGGGTAAAAGTGCGACAGACAGACTCGGAAGTTCAGATCCTTCCCTCGGCTCAGATGAATCCTGAACCTGTATGCCAGCTGGTCTTCCTTGCTCTGGCAATGCGGGGTACGGATTCGAATTCGGGGATTCGAATTCCAGGGATAAACTTTCAGCCGGTAGTACTTTGCCAACGGGGCCGGAAAATTGGCTTGGCAGGCCTATGTAGACTACATTTGGGTGTGTCCTTGCTAGGCGACCCCCAAAATGGTTGGTTTCTTGTTGGTTTCCCTTTAAAGCCACAAGAGCAATTTCCCAACACCGAACGGGTCCCATGCGACCTGGCGGAAGCTGAATCGTCCAAGCTGAGTCCACTCTTCCAAGTGACCAGTTGGTTTCCCCAACTGGTCTACCTGGACCCTCAAACTACCCTCAAAATGGGGCATTGCCTCAAACATATGGGGTGAATTCCCTTTTTCTGGGGTTGTTTGAGGGTCCAGATGTACTTTCTTCCAGGTCACACATGGCTTCGTTGTTTTTGAGGGTAACGTCGAGTGGGGTGGGTTAGGAAGCCCAAATGAAACGATTCAATCATTGGGAAGTCGCCACGCTCAAATGGCTTCTCAAAATGATGCTTCCAAAGAATGAGTTTCCTTCTGGCTTGCCCTCTATATTCTTGCAACTCGCCAAGGAGGGTTTCCCTTGACTGCTATTGGGTTGGATCTTTAGACTTGAACTGTTTGGTTGAAATCATGTTGGGTTTTCCACTAAACCCCCAAAAAGTTAAACTTGTTTGTAGGGGGGTCAACAGCAACCAAGTTCCCTAAACACCAAACGACGCCCAGTCCGCCCAGGATCTCCTCCATGCTTGCGGGCCGCGATTTGGAGGGTGGGAAGACCACGAAGAGCCGCACGGAGGACTTCTGCCGGACGCCCCGGGAAAAAACGGGACCGGGACCGCCGGAAGCTGCAGCCAGGATCGGGATGTCCCATGGGTTTTGTCCCAGTTGCGTTGCAACCCTCAGTTGTTCAGTGGCTCCCTTTTTCCCCTGTTTTTTGGTGGCTGCCCCACTAAAATGGTCCAAGCCCCAAAAAAAGGGGTTCCCTTTTTTTCTAAGGTCACTGAACAACTGAGAACCAGTGGGCTGCCTCCTTTTCCGACTTTGTTTGGGGGAGGCTTCCCTTTAAACTCAGCCAGCCCAAAAATGGATGCCTTTTTGTCCCCTGGCCGCTCATCTGAGGTTGGGCCTACCTCCGCAAAACCAAGGGACTGCAAATCCAAATCGGGAGCCAAACCGCCGAGAGACGCCTGATGGGTTGATTTGTTTGAAGGAGCCCCTTGTTTTGTCTCAAAAGGAGCATGGGGGGGGCTGATTTCCCGTTAAACCCGTGCAAAAAAGGGCACCCTCAACAAAACAGACACCCAATAATGGGTTATCTATATATATATATATATATTGTTGTTTGTTGAAGGAACCCGTTTTTTGTCGTGGATTAAAAGGAAACCACCACGACAACCGTTTGCTGTTTGTGTTTTTTTGGCAGGTGTTCCCTAAGATGGCCCTAAAAGTTATCAAAGTCAGAAACAGGGTTGTCTTAAAAATAGGAAGCGGGCCCAAACAAATGGGTTTCCCCGTGGTTTCCCTTTAAACTAAGCCCAAACAGGGTAGCAACAAAAAACAAGCCACTCACGTAGGTTCGACACACCCCAAAGGAAACGCCATTCCAAGCCACGAGTCGCGAGTCGCCGAGTCGCTGTCCGGCCCGGCAGGAAGGTTTCGTTGGACGAGGGTCAAGGGATGGAGTTGTTTTTATTCGTCCTCTTTACTTGCCTAAGTCCCCCAGCCAGGTGCCCTTTCTCGCCCTTTTTTGGTTGGGAGTAGTGCCCTTTCTCACCCTTTTTTGGTTGGGAGGGTTCCCCTACTAAAATAGACTGCAGAAAGAAGGGGTACCCTTATTCTAACCTCTCTACTGGAGGACCTAGTTGCTGCTGCTCCAGATGTAGCTCCCCTTTTTGTTTTTTTTCTCCTTTTCTTCGTTTTCGACTAACCAGTGCTGGGGCCCTGATTCCGGCCAAGGCCGCTGCTCAGTAGGGAATGTGGGAATGAACCGGAAGAGCTTCCCGCATTGTTTCCCTCCTTAGTTTTTACCCTCCCCCAGGCGATTCCAGGGAGCTTTTGGAAGACTTGGTTAAGTTTACCGTGGCCTTCTGGGAGCCTCCATGGTATGTCTGGGGCAGTGTATCCACTTGGGGTGGGCCCATTTGTTCACGAGGATCCCTGAGATTTGGAGAAGGTACGGCTAGATCATGCTATTTTTTGTCTACAACATTGTCATTTACTGTTGGTGATCGGGGGAACCCAAAGGGCAACAATTTGTGTGGTCTATTAGAACCCGCAGGGTGCAACCGAACTGTGGCTTCGGCTGGATGATTGTCTCTTGATTTGTCTTGGATGGCAACTGAGTTGAGTCAATTTCAACTCAACTTCCATTTGCTTAAGAATATATTTGGCATTTTCCCGTGTTGGTTTTGGGAATGTACTGCTACTGGACATATGTTCTCATCTTTTCCAGGGCGAACAAGGCAAATGGACGGGGTGGTTTCAAGTTGTTTTTGTTTGTCTGCCGTGTTTTTAGAAAACCCCCAAGGAAAGGGTGGTTTAAAGGGATCCCCTGGTGTGTTTTTCTGGAAAACCGGTTGTTTAAACGGGTTGGTTGCTTGATTCCCTACCCCTCACCCCCCACCAACGACCACCCACTCGCTCGCGTCCAAGGGGAAGTTCCGGCCTGGCGCGCCAGCTGCCTGGTATTGCACCAGGTGCTGCGGGACAAGGCCCCTTTCCGATCTCTGGTCGGCTCCCGGCGCTAATCAGCCGCGGAAGCATAGGTGTCCTTTTTGGTTGGTTTGATTAAAAAATCAGAGGGCCCTAATTTACCTGGTGGCTCGATCATCCACCAGGGCCATCTATTTTCCAAAAAGGACGCCTATGGGTGAAAGGAGAAGTTATACTTTCATTTGCTTAGTAATAGCTTTCATGTTCCCTTGTTGGTTTGAAAAGGGAATCTATCACTACTGGAAATATGTGTTCCCGCGAGCTTAAGCAAATGGAGGTATAATATAAAATGTAAATATTGTTATAAGGTTTAATGATTATAACCTAGGATGATACGATTATGTATATATATATATAAATATGTTTTGCGTAAGGCCTGGCACGGAGAATAACTCATAGTCACAACTATTTTCCATTTGCTTAATAAGTTGTATTTTCCCTGGTTGGTGTCAAGGGGAATCTATCACGGAAATATGGTTTTTGTTGTTTTTTCTCCCAGGGAAGCTATGCGTTGTTATAAGGCCCATTCCAAATAACTCAAATCATAAGACCTGCTGACAACAACAAAAACTATTAGATCTGACATTACGATTTATAAGCCTGTTGCTCTTCACTTGCCGAGGTGACTGAGGTGAAGCCTGGACATGTATGACTGAGTTGTCCAAGCCATTGTGACTTTTTGATGTTCGTTTTTTTTTTTGGACCACCCAGAGGCTCCAGTTGTTTGGGACCCGGTCTCAAACCCTGGCTGTTTGGAGGGCTCTAAATACATCGAATTGGAGGCTCTGGGCATTGAGGTCAACCCACAAGGATAGTCAAGAGCCTTGCTTTGACAGGGCTCCTTAAAATAAAACAATTTTGCGACCATTTGAAAAACATGTTGCTTTTTCAACACCAGAATGAAGAAATGGACACCACCATTTACAAGTTGCAATGTTCAGGTGTATGCATCCGGATCCCTGTTTGATTATAGATCACCTTGTATTCGTCCTGGGCTGGGATGGTCACTCAGGGCGCCTTTGGCCGAGGCCGCAAGTCCAAAACACCGCGGGCAAGCCCTCAGTGGTGCCCTTTTTTTTTTGCATTTTTTGTTTTGGGAAGGCGTCCCTTTAAGCTCAACCAACCCAAAAATAATGGCCCTTTTTGCATTTTTGTTTGGGAAGGCGTCCCTTGGAGCTCAACCAAAAAAGAATATGATGCGATTCTTCTTTTTTTTCCGCTGGCGACTGGGCATCTGAGTCAGGATCACAGTCTGAGTTGCCACCAGTGGGTTGCTTCCTTTTGTCGATTTGTTTTTGGGTGTTGGGTTCCTTTTTCCCTTTTGGCGGGGTCCAACCTCCACATGCATACACAGAGAGAGAGATGTATTTATATATAGACATATGCATAAGCTGTGGCGAGCTCACCTAAAGGTGGAACGAGCCCATCGTGGGATTCAGATCCTTTATTTCGGAATCCCTTGTTTGAGTTTTTTTGGAAATATCGTAAACTTTGCAGGCCTCATATCTATTTGTTCGAGCTGAGGTAATGGTTGACAGGGATAGCTGGGAGCATTCCTGTTCAAGTGTCAAACGGTCAGAGAGGGGTATGGGGCTGAGCGGATTTGATATATACCCAGTTGCAACCAGTGGGTTGCCTCCTGTTTTCCGCCTTTTTTTCGGGGGGTTTTGGGCTTCCCCTTTAAACTCAACCAACCAAAAACAAGCGGATGCCGAGCCTTTCTTCCCCTGGAAATCCACTCGGCATCTGAGTTGTTTTGCTCTTTGTTTTGCATTGTTTTCCACCAACCGGGCACAACATCGAGTTTTTTTTTCCCGCTCGGGGCCAAATTCCAGCCGATGCAGATCTATGTTTTTTCCTAGCCCATTTCGGCATTTCGGCGCGGGCTGAGAGCGCAGAGGTGATCCCGGTGAACTTAGCCGCGCTGGAGCTCTTCAGGGTCCCGTGGCTGAGTCAGCGCAGCTGCTTCGTTGCTTCGGGCGCCCAACTGTGGATGGACGCGAAATCCAAATCCTGCACCACACCAAGACACCATGCTTGAAACCAGAACGTTGGTTGGTATTTACGTTGGGGATCATATTATTCTAGGGTTTCTGAACGGTGGTGCGAAATGGATTTCCTCCATCCACAGTAGGTCGCCCAGTGGCCAAAGCCTGGTGTATCTCTGGCTCATTCTTTGGTCGCATCGATGGAAGAACAAAAACACTGGGCCGTAGGACCCTTCCCATGTCTACCCAGCTAGGTGCCCTTTTTACCGTTTTGTTTTTTTTGGTTGGGAGAGTTCCCCTAAAAAAAGACTACAGAAAAAAGTAGGTACCAACTTATTCTAACCTCTCTACTGGAAGACCTAGCCAATGAGGAGGCACGTGGACTCAAGAAGAATCGGCATCTTTCTTGAGAATGCCCAATTCTAAGTGCATGTAAAAGAAAAGCACAAGAGAAGCCAAGAAGAGATTCCTCCACAAGTTGGGTTCCATGTTAGCTCAGTTGGGTGGGGAAAAACGGCCCGGATCTTTTTGACCTCAACGTTTGTTTTGTTTGCTTTTGCTTTTCCTGGACATGGGTTCCCAATGTTTTCTTTCCAGGTCTCGGCGCAACTGAGAGTGGTGTGTCGTCTTTCGAGGGTACTCTTGGGCGCATTTTCAAGACCGGGGAAGTCGCAGTTTTTGTAGATCCCCTATTTTGAGAAGACCATGGATGGTCGGTTTTTGTTTAACATTTTAAGTAACGTGCTTGGAAGCAAAGCGCTGTAGCCTGGCTGTTGCGGGTTTCATCTTCCCATGTTGATCTTAAGCGAATCTATCGCCACTACTTGTTCGCCTTGTTTCCGGCGGACTAAAAGCAAGCGGAAGGGTTTGTGGATTTCTTTGAGGCTTGGCAATTTGCAGGGCGAACATATGAATTAGTGTGCAGGCCTACCATGATTTTTGCAGGTATCCCTGATCCCCATTCTAATTCTTCCAAAAGCAACTCTCAGGTAGGGTTTGAAACCAATTCGGAGAACCCACTGGCATGTACGTCCCACCCAGTGGATTTTCCGCGGAGCTCGGCGTTTCGGCCCCGAATCTTTCCTTTTTTTTCGTGCGCGAGAAGTGGAGTCGGTGAGAAGTGGACAGTTTGCCTGATCTCTTTTGCCTTTCTGGACGACCAATTATGACCTTTTGGTGTTCCAGTGGTCCATTTTTCGTGACCCGAAAGGTTAACCTTCTATTTCTGGGTCCTTTGGGAAACTGAGTGATTTCCGAAGGGTCTATTTGTGCTAGATTGCCGGGTCTCTGATGCCACGCTGCGTAGGTCTTTTCCATTTCGCTTTCGCAGGACACCTTCGAAGATTTGGACGAAGCCGAGCCAGAGGTGCTGGGGTTTGGGGGCCCCACTCAACTCGGTCAAGGTGCCCGACCTCTGACCCACTTTTTTTGGGAAGGGAGGGTTCGGGACCCTAAAATAGAGAAAACCGGAAAAACAAAACAAACAAAGAAACAGATCGGGTACCAACTGATTCTAACCTCTCAAAATCTGGAGGACCTAGTCAATATGAACTCATTTTCTGAGTTCCTGGACTTAAGACTTGGGCTTGGACCATGGTGGTAAACAAGTTACTTTGACAGATCCACTCTGAGGTCGGAACACCCATGCTGGACGCTTGAGTTCTAAAGGGTGGGATGAGCTTTTGGTTGCCTATGTTGGTCCATGTTTGGGACCTTCCTTACGGTTCGCCTTTCCTTTCCAGGTCAAGGGGCAAGTGAGAGGGGTACCCAAAGCGCAAATTCGTGTTCTGCTGTTGAACTAAGTGGGTGTGTCTTTTTGCGAGGTTACCTTCTGTTGGTGGATTCAACGGGTAATGAAAATGACGGTACCACCATTTCTTGGCGGGTCCCCCCCAGGAAATAGGCTTATAAGAGGCCCGTGGCAGTTGGACTGGATTGGGATTCGGATTCAAGCTCCAGCCCTCGAGCTCCAAACCACCAGTTTCCGAAGCCGACGGTGGTTGGCTGGATGTTTCGGGCGTGTCTTTTTTCAGATGGCGCCCTCCCCAAAAATAGCCAAGATATTTCGGCTTTCCTACCGGTTTCCCGGTACCCGCCAAGAAAAGACACGCCCTGGTTTGTGTCATAGATGGCGCTATTTCCCCCTTGGTTCTAATCATTCAGTGCCATCTATTTGTCCCACATGACACCTATGGCTGGTGGGAAACATTGAAATTTAAAAATTCGAAGTCATGCCTTCTGTTGTTGTTTTGTTTTTGTTTTTGGGGGGATTAGTTAGACGTTTGTGGTGTACCCGTTTGTGGGGGTGGGGGTTCCCCGTTTGGGGTTGGAGGTTTCTGGCCGCGGCTTTCTCCCGGACGATGTCCCGCAGGTTCGCCACGCCGTGGGGGTGTTGATCGACCAGGTGACGTCTCGGCTCGGGGACTCCAATGTGCGTCTGCACGACCCATGGCTCTGCACATTTCGCGACCCATTTCGCGCGTGGAGATTTGAGGTGGACTTGCGTGGGCCATGGTTTTTTAGAGTTGGACTTTTTCCCCTCTCCAAAATGGCGCAACGGTGTTCCACTTGCGGTGTTCAAAGGAAACCACCTGTTTTTTTACAGGATGCCAAAGCAAAACCAACCTTTTGTTTGGAGGGTACCATTTTGAGGTTGGTTTAGAGGGAAAAAGGGACAACTAAAGACTTTCTTGGGTACCGCTATTTTGAGACAACCGCATTTCTTCCTGGCATTTTCTGTTTCGGACCCCCCCTTTTGTCTGTTTTGTGTTTTTAAAGCAGGAAGCCGACCACCCTGGGGTCTCCACAAACAACACGCATTTTTTCGAGTCGAACATATATAAACAGAAACTCGCTTCCTGCCACTTTTTGGGTTTGGTTGTCATTTTGGTGGTGAAGAACAAATTTGGTTACTTTTTTGGGCCAATCCACTGGAAAGTGAGGAGACCGAGACCAATGGAACTCTGCAGGTCGTCTCTTGTAGCAAGATGCGAGGCTTTCAGGCAGCGGGGTTTTAGAATTGGATTGGTTTCTTCCCGGCAGAGTTTGCATCCTCATGGGGTAGGAGCAAGCCTGTGGTGAAGTAGTTCCTGTTGTTTCCCAAATGTTACAACAGTTCATTGAATGCTTTGGTGCGTTTCTTCCACTAGCCGATCAACACATGGTTGCTTTTCCAGAGTCCCCTAAATAATAAAAGCATTGGAGCCATTTCAAACACAGCTAAAATAGCTAAAACTGGCGGGGATGTATGCTTTTGCCGGGACCCTGTTGGTGTATATGTTTCCCTGCTTGCTTGTCCCTTGGGGCTATGAGGTACCCCTCAGTGGGGGTATAAGGTACCCCTCAGTTGGTGGTTTGGATTTGTGATCTGGATTTGAACCCCTGATTCTTACAGAGGGTAGCTGGCAAACCTCTCTTTAACCACCAAACCACTGGGCTCCAAACCACCAAAGGGAAGGAAACTGAGGTTCTTGCAGATAGAAACCCCAATCCCACACCACCAAACCACCGGGCTCCAAACCACCAATTGTTGTTTTTTTCCCCGCTTGTTTGTTTCCTCGGGGTAGGCGCCTTGCTCACCTCAGCTTCCCTCTAATTTGTGGTTTGGTGTCCAAGGAGGAGTTTCCCATACACCCTCCTCAGTTGTGCAGTGGCACCCTTTTCCCCTTTTTTTTGCCCCACTAAAAAGGGTCTTCCCCAAAACGGGTTCCCTTTTTTTCCAGGGTCACTGAACAACTGAGCTACAAATGAGGCTGCCAATATCATTCAAATTGCCTTTCTGTCAACATGTCTAGCAAAACCTCATAAAAATGCCAAATATACTCTGCAAGATCCAGGGCTTCAATTCCAACTCCAAATCCAGACCAAGTAGCGCGCCAGACGAGTAACCAGCGCCTGTTCCTTGAAGGAAGCCAGGCAGCTGTAGGGGCGAGCCAGGAGATGCCCCGGAAAAAAGAAGAAAAAAACTGGATAGCCAAGTTGCCGCTTTTTTCAGTCACTGTTGCATGGAAAAAAAAACAGCAACTGGCGATCCAGGAACACACAAAACACGCCAAGTCCAGAAAAAGCCGACGTCGCCGGCCGCCTCTTTGGCCGCTTTTGTCCCCCAGGAAGCGGCGCGCCGGGACGTGGTCTTCGCGGCCCGGCTGCTGGGCTTGCCGGACCTGCTCCGGCGACTGCGCTCGCGCCTGGAGGTGACGAGCGGCTGCCCGCTTCCCGCTTCCCGCTTCCGTTTTGCTTCCATTCGCTTAAGAACAAATGTACATTCCGTATCTACATACGCATGTTCATAGTGTGCATATATACATATAGTACGTATGTACACATGCACATACATAGAAAAGTGTTGCATACATACGTTTCAGGGTTGTGGGATCACTCGGGGTTTAGCTCACTTCTGTGATACAACGGAATCCCCTCTTTCAATGAGGGGGTAGTCTTTGGGGTTCAGCCCTTTTCGTTGTACCACAGAAGTGGATTCCATTTCCCACAGCCCTGACATGATTTTTGTTGCCCCGGTTGGTTTTCAAGGGAATCGATTTCACTACTTGGAACTAAGGCTCCCTTCAGAGGAAGTTGATCTTCCAGGTATTTCCAGCGGGTGCCTTCTGTTGGTGGGAAGAAGGGCAGCATCCAAAATGCAGCCCCAACCAGGGCGCGTATACATTCGTATCTACATACACATGTTCATAGCGTGTAAATACATATAGTATATACATACACATACACAAATATACATTGCATACGTAAATTGGATATGTCATTTCATTCGGTATCCTGTGGTGGGCATCATTTACATGCAGACTTGCGTGTGTCCACCACCCCATTTGGTAGGCTCTTCCTCAAACAACTTCATCGCACCATATTGTATTGAGCCACGGACAACCAATGTTGATCCCCCAGGAACTTTGGTTTTTGCCGGGAACTTTGGGACTTTGGAGCGATAAGCTTTCTTACTATGGTCCCGGTAGCCCAACTTGCAAACTCGGCGACGGAAAGTAAGCCCTCAAAAGCTGCATTCTCACCCTAAAAAGCCCTAAACCTCAAACCCAAATCCCAAAAACCCTACACCCCAAATTACTGCGCAGGGCCAGTGCTTTTGGCGTGTTTTGGGGCCAAACCCGAAACCTAAACTCTTAAGCCAAAAGCCCTAAACCTAAACCCGAAGCTTAAACCCTGAGCACACAAGGTCATGTGGGGAGGGGCCCACTAAGAGGGAACACCCCCCGACCAAAACCAACCAGGGTACTTGTTTCCGAGGCTCCCAAAGTAGAACCGCCTGGATGCAGGGCCAAAGCGTCCATGATGCTTAGTTAAGCATTCCCCTTAAAAAGAAACTAGTGGGGGGAGCTTTACTGCCAGATCCAACATTCTTTGATTGAAATAAGTCCCAGGAGCTTGGATGCGCATGTTTGGACCACCCCTGATTTCATCGCCTGCCAACCTCAAGCCCGGCTCCCTTCGGTCCCTGGCCTCCGACATGCCATGAAGCGACCGCGCAAAGGGCCGAGGCCCTTGGCCCTTTGCGGCGCTTGCCTGCTTTGTGCTCCGGCCTTCTACGCCCCCCGCGCCCCGGTGCGTCTCCGTGCGGTGAGCGGCTTCCGACCATCGGCCCGGGCGGCGGACACCGCTTCCGCCGCTTCCGCCGCTTCCGCCGGACGCGGGCGCGATGTGCGGAGCGCGGAGGTGGCGAGGGCGGGGTTTCTGGAAGAGCTACGGGAGAAGATGGAGGCCGGGAGCGAGTGCACTCGATCCGGTTACCAGACAAGTTCCGGCTCGCAACGCATTTGCAAAACAGGGCCCTTTGAGCATTTCTTTAGTTTTGGGGGGGGGGGGGTATCGGAGTGGATTTTAAGCAATTGCCATGCGCCAGGGTGATTGTGACCGGACCCACCAGATGAATTACTCTCGAGAAAATTCGCTGACTCACCGTGTTGTCGGTACAGGTGTGTGTTTTCCCAATTCAATGTGGGGAGATGAGAGCGGCTTGCATGAACTTAGTGCATTTTGCTTGGATGTTAGGGCTTTAACTTTTGCCAACTAATGGGTTTTCCATTAAACCACTAAAAGGTATTCACTGTTAGCAGGGCTCCGCAGATTTCGCAACCGACATTGATTCCTGGTGGCGCATTCTCGTGTCATGTAGATGCTTGCATGAGTGTTGAGTAGGTAGGTAGGGTATACCGCTGCCGCTTGGCTCCCCTTGTGGAGCTTTGCACATGGAGCCTTGAGGCACCTTCTCATCCATTTGCTTAAGAGCAATATGGTATTTTCCCTTGGTGGTTTGAAAGGGTGTACCTATCCGGAGCTGTCCTGAAAGAACATATTGTATTTCCAGACTATATCCTTCCATTTGCTGAAAGGAACTATTTGTTTTATGTTCCCCTGTTGGTTTTAAAGGGAATCTATCACCACTCGACACATTGTGTTTTGCTTGTTTTTGTTTTTTCCAGGGGACTTCAGCAAATGGCAGTTCTTGTTTTGCCATCGGTGCATCAGTCGGCTAAGGCGCATGAACATTATCATGGTTTCCCTTCAGCTTGTTTTTTTTTGTCGTTTCGTTTGGTGTGCAGATCGAAGTTCCTGGACTTCAGACTTTTCAGACATGCCATTTCCGGGTGTCTTTTCTTGACGGCACTATTTTGGGGTGGCCGTAAAGGGAAACCCGAAGCAAACCAGCCCGCATTTGTTGGGCCCTCTGATTTTGAGACAAACCCATTTGAATGGGGTAAACGTATGTACAAGTTTACACTTGGCGAATCCACCGGTGAAAGCCCAATGCCCCTTCCGCCCTGTTTGACATGGCCCTAGCTTCTCAGAGCAGGGTTGGGTGTGTGTGTTTGTTTTCCTTCTACCCCAAAAAAAAACAAAAGGAGCAACCGAAATCCAATCAAAGAATCCGGGTTTTTGGGCAGACTTCCCATTTTATCCTGATGCCCCCAGAGGCCCAAACCGTTTTCCCAAACTCCCCCCCACCCCGAGCTCGGGGTGGGGTGCAGCCAGGAGCCGCCGCTTTCTGGGATCAAGTCCCCGGGCGTTTGGCTGGCCTTGGCCTCCGTGGCCTTCGCGGGCTTCTCGGGCGGCAACATCTTCGCCGCCTGTGCCGCGGAAATTGACGGGGGGGGGGGGGGTGGCGATGTCGTTTTGAACCGGCGTTTTATTCAAGGGATTGGGTGGCGATTTCTTTTTGAACAGGCGTTTTATTCAAGGTGATTTTTTGTAGGGGAAGTATAGATTTTGGTCCGTATTTTCTGTGGTGGTCTGTATGTTCGAACGGGGCAACACTGCGGGCAGCCGCTGTTGGCAGCTTAATCCAAAAGGACAGTGGCTTTACTTGTGTGGGCATCCATGGCTCAAATGGGCTTGTCTTTTTCTGAACCCACCTCCGGGGTGTCTAATGGAGGGGTCGGGTCTTCCATTGAAAGGGTCAGGAGCCTCTCAAAAGCCATCAAAGTGTTGGGTTTCCCTTTGGCGTCCCCTTTGAACCCACTCCAAAACGGGAACCCCCCCAACAAAATGAGACCAACGTAGGTGCCGTCGGTGGGTGCGCGCTCCTGGGCAGCTGGCTCCTCAGGCAGACTTAGCAAGGCTTGGCTATGGCTGTTTTCTTTTGGGGTACCCTCATGGTGCCGGAAGTCTTTGGTTTCCCTTTCAGCTACCTCCCCGAGTTCTGTTTTTTTTTTTTTTTTTTCTGCAGTTTTGTGCATGTCTTCAGCTACCTCCCCGAAAAACTGTTTTTTTTTTTTTTTTCTGCGGTTTCGTGCTGGCCTTTTGCTTTAACAAGCCAGCACACAGACTCACCTCCACGTTCGGAGAATTTCGGTGGCAAACATTTGGGCAATCCACTCGGGTTCCCGGCGAGCCGGACGGCCCCAAAGAAGCGAAGCCAAACTGGCCAAAAAAACCGTGCCGTCCAGTGGTCTAAAATGAACTAAGCTTTTGACCTGTGTTTTGGTCTACTTTTGATCTAAAATGAACTAAGCCTTGGTCTAAAATGAACTGTTTTGGCCTACCTTTTTCTCAAGAAGTCTCTTTTTTTTGGGCGCCTCAGGGCCTGAAGAGGTGATGAGACATTTGGAGATCCCCGTAGTTGATATCTCGGGTCCAAGTACACCATATTTGAGGTCTTGGGTTTGGTTCAAGGGGATTTATCATTGACAGATTCCTCAAAATATACTGCTATGAATTCCACTCCCCTTCCAACGTCAACCAAGAATCTCCCACTGCTATGTTCATTCATTTGGTGGAGCTATCAGAACTCCAAGCGCATCAACTGGCTCAGGGTTGTGGGATCACTCGGGGTTTAGCCCCACTTCTGTGATACGGAATCCCCTCTTTAAATGAGGGGGTAGTCTTTGGGGTTCGGCCCTTCTCGTTGTATCAGAAGTGGATTCCATTTCCCACAGCCCTGAACTGGCTTGACTCCCTAACATGATTTCATCTCATGTCGCGCATTTAGTTTTTGGCGAGAATCACTTGACACTGGGTGTCAGAAATTCACCAAGCTGCCGGCTCCTTCCTTGATCTCTCGGGCGGGGGTCGTTTGGCCCTCTTTGGGCGCAAAATGTTCCTCTCTATCACTAATCTTAGCTACGTTACAGCTCCCTTCAGACGACAAAGAGCAAATCAAACCAAGAACAACACTTTGCAGCCAAAGGTGCCCCTCCTGAAGTTCTACCCGCCCGCCCAGCCAAAACCCACCCAACTTTTGGTGCGTTTTGCTTGGATGTTAGGGCTTTCGCTTTTTGCCAACTAATGGGCTTTCCACGAAATGTCACTCAAAGTTATTCACTTTTAGCATGGCGTTCCGCAGATTTCGCAACCTTTCAACATCTCCAAGTCGCAACCAACTTCTCTCAGGTTCGGTCGGCGCACGCCCTTGGGCCGCGCCATGACGGGCCCGGTGTCCGCCTTCGCCCTCTCCGTGATCCTCAGCTCCCAGTGGCCCGGGGGCGTCCCGGCGGCGGTGCTGAGGCGCTTGCAGTTCGCCGCGGTGACGCTGGCCACGCCGCTGCTGCGCCTCGGATAATTTTCGGAAATTTTGGCGTGGAGTCTCCTACTCGGTGGCTTAGCTTTTTGGCCTTTTAGTGTTTACTCAGTTGTTCAAAGCGAATCGACCTTTTGACCTTTTGGTTTGCAAATTTTGGTCCATTTTTAGTCATGGCCCCCAAAAGGTTAACCTTTTAGTTCCAGG